CGCTATTATAAAATTTGTCTTTAGTATAGTAGATGTTCTGTATTTATTTGTAAATAACTAATTAATTAGTAATTATACGTATGCACAAATATTTACTTTCGCTCCAAAGACAGTTTCTTTGGGTTGTTTTCGTTTATTAAATTGTAAACTGACATTCACTAAATCATTCAGTAAATATAAGTTAATTTTTAAACAGTGACGTATATTGTACTTAGTATACGTTACTGTACCAACCAACTAAATTAATGACCCAATAATTAAATAAAATAACTAATCTTACCGTTATTTTACTTTTAAAAAAATAATTTTACTTTTAAAGATTTTTTTTAATATTTTTACTTTTTTTCTAAACAGTTTTATATTAAAATAGGTAGGTACTTCAACATAAACATTTTGTTTGAATTATCCTGTCTTAATTTCAAATTTTTAAAAGTCAACCATTGTATATTTATCAACAATATGAGCAATATGTAAGTTGTATTGGGTGTATAACATAGATTTTTATCCTAAAATTATGTAGAGATCTACATATCGTTGCAAGGCGCGAGAAGCATTAAACCGATATGATTTTCTCACATATTTTACTTAGTCATGCGGTTTGAACAGTCGCCAGATAGCACATCGAGTGTTGCCTAGATCACGGGCTGTCACTTGCAATCATACGTAAATCATAATCAGATATGACTAGGAATTTGTGCACTTTTAGGTAGGTATCTATATAAGTTATGATTTTTAACAAAAAGTAACCAACAGTAAGACACAAGTGTTGCAGACGCACGCATTAATGTTCACATTCGTATTGTGAATAAACATCGTAATGTAGCAGATAAACTAGGATGGGAGCCAAGACGAAAATATGCTACAGCGCGTTTTTCCATTGGATTCTGCGCTTTGGAAACGGACAGTAGTCGTGGCGGACAATCACTGTTGTTCCCTGATGGGACGTGATAAACTGCTTCCAAAGGTCTCTCACACATTGTGCATGCTATTTAGCGAGTATTGTGTTTGTGTAGGTCACGCTCTGAATGTTACGTTATAATGTATGTTATGGTACAAATAAGATGCTCCTCGTTTCCCTAATGATCATTTCAATACATACCACTACATTATTTCCTATTGCTTGCTAATCTTTTGTTAGAAACAAAAACAATATACTTGTCACGTTCATTGTGTATTTGTGCCTAAAACTCCAATGTTTGTGTCCATTGTGACTGTCTTGTGTGTTTGTGTGTCTTGCAAGGTTACACGTGGGGATCACGAGACAGGTCGCTGCACAAACGTCAAGGTGGGCACGGAAAATTTCATTCAACTCTCAATCTATTTACATCGGCACGAATTTGTGTATCTTAAGTGGCGCACCGCGCGCGCACTTCCTCCACTGACGTACGCAACCGATGGACCTTCGCGTGCCATGGCACAGCCGAACCACAAGTTTGTGAAATGTCATATTCCCGGAATAAATTAACGTCCGGAAACTTTGCCTCTGAACGAGGAGACAAAGCGTGAAAGTGCAAACTGATTCGGTGTTCTGAATGACAAGCGACGGCCGCAGGTCGGATGCGGGTGCGTTTTGCGTGTCGTATGGGCGGCGTGTACGGCCGCGAGTGTTCAGGATAATGCTGTTTACGCTCGTGTTCACTGTCAAACGTGTTATCTGTTATGTGAGCAGGTGCGTCTGGCGTTGGCGTGGCGGCGTGCGCCGGCGGCTATATTTGTGTCGCGCGGGCGGCGTTACATAAAACTGTCGTGTGCGATCCTCACCTCCTCTATCTTGAGGCTGGTGCGGACCACCTTGCGGGTGACCGCGCTCTCGTAAGTCTCCTCGATTGTCTCCGCCATGGTTGCGAATCGCGGGCGCAGCGGGTAACGCGCGCGGCTGTTGCGGCGGTACTGAGAGTTGGGCGGTTATTTTTAGTTGCCGGCGTATGGTGGTACGACTCTACGAGTGAGTCCAGTGACGAAGGCAGGGTGCCGACGCCACTTGTTATTGTCGCGGGTGTGGACACTACCCGCTGTAGGGGATCACCCACGGTGCCCGTCCGATAACTTTAACACAAAGCGCCCAAAGTTGACACACACAAAATTTACGCATCTAACTGTCACACGAATTATAGCAATATCTGCACAATACCAATGAATATTTTAAATAATTAGATCAATAATTTTATTAATTTCACGCCGGTGTTAGATCCTCTATCAGTTTGGCATTGACCAGCTGTACCGGACCAACACTTCCACCGCCGCTGTTCGCAATGTTATGACGCTGATTATCGGCAATTGGTGAAAAACAAATCTGTAGCTACTATGGCATTCTTCCAGATGTAATGGATCGAGAAATAAAGCTCGTCAATTGGTTGAAATATAGTTATTTTATAGGAGCTATCTATTTACCTAACACTAATTACATCCCGCAGAATCGCTCGTGAAATACAAACCATGTTATTCGCTAATAATTTAACTTTTCATTGTGAAAGTATTATGAAAATCGGTCAACTATTTAACAAAGAAATCAAATATTTTCTTATGTATTAATAATTAATGTTTATTTTATATTATAACTTAATGAAACTATTTAGACCAAGTATGTAAGCAGTTACTATATAATCAGGGTAATGGATGATGATACGAATCTTGGAGATGCAACTGCAGTAAAGAACCATGATGCATTGCTCTAGTTACGATGTCCCAATAAAATAAACGTAAGAAGTGTACACGTTACTGAGGATAAACACGCACAGATATATTTCCTGGAACATCAACCAAGCTATGTGATTTAAAAGTAGGGAAAAAACATAGGCCTATATTCAGTGGCATGTATTGTAATAAGTTTTTATATAGTGTTTTAAATACATATTGGTATTTTATCACACGTTGGGTTACATTATCGAAGTTTTTATATGGATCTCTAACGTTTTTGAAAATATTCTATATTATGCCTGTGTTTATTTATTTTACGTTAATGCACACAATATACGTACGTACATTTGGCGGACTTAACACCATGTGACATTTTCTACCAGTCAGCCATAGGTGGTACAGAGAAAAATTAATTAACTATATTTATCAGGGATATATCTAGTAAGATTCTTATGGTAAATAATTATTGAAATCGGTCCGGTAGTTTCGGTGGTTTCTCAGTGCAAACAAATAAACAATCAAATATTTCCTCTTTATATTAGGACAGATGTCAAGAGCGAAATGTTCTATGTGAATAAATTAATTTGAGGGAGATTTTAAGTTATATGCTATACTTACAATATTGTTGTATTTCCATATATACTTGTTTCCAAATTTATTTACACTAACTGTCGATAATAAATCAATCGCAAATAGCGCATATGCATCATCAAAGACTGCCTTGTGGTTCATAAAAGTTTTACGTTTTTCTTAGACTTGAAACTAGTACGGGCTGCGGGCAACGACACCGCAACAGACATGCGTGTTGAAAACGGCGTGTCAAGGAAACGGTCGTGAAATAAACGATCATTAGGCGTCTTGTCCCCGAATTTTGAAGATGACCGACCGCAGGTTACAATAGTCGTGGCATCCTTTGTATTTTCAACTGTTTTACACGTGTAAGTAAAGTGGCCTTGTTAGTAATGTGGACTGATGACCCCATTGCTAGCATGTACCATATCAGGTTGACTTCTCCTGGAAACCAACATGTAAAATTCCTGGTGAATTTGTGAAGTGGGGCACTCCTGACCTCATGTTCATCTGACACCTAAACCGTTAGCGCAGGCGAGTACAACACTCCATTATCGTACATTTAAAATAAATCAAAATTGGCCCGAAATCCTAATCAGCAAGCCAGGATATAGAATTTTATATATTCCCCACCATTTTATAGGATTGTTCCAGTTACTATCAACATTTGCGTCTTAATAGATTAGAGGTATTTTACCACCTATTTGTAAATTAATATAAATGGACTTATGAGTATTTTGTAATGATTTTATGGAAATTGTCTTGTGGTAGAAAGTAGTGTCCTGCAAAAGCGTTCTAGATTTATTATAAGACCCGACAGCATAGTGATTGAATACATTACTATACTAGCTACCCGCCCCGGCTTCACACGGGTATACATGTATTATACATTAAAACCTTCCTCTTGAACCCCTCTATTGCTAAATACTGCAATAAAATTCTTTGCTTAATTTAAAAGATCTAAGCGAAGAGACAGCGGAAACGATTTCATTTTGTACTATGTATCGACTTTTATCGCCATCTGACGAGAACATCCAAAATCAAAATACACTGCTTGAAAGCGACATCTATCGTCAAAACATGATATTGAAGTTTTATAGTAGTAGCTGTTCGGAAAACCGTACAGTAATATATATAGTTATATAAATTCTTTATACAGCAATGTAACCGCGCTGTTTAACGTATGTATCATTATACTAAAGGTAATAAAATCAGTGAGTATCAGTGAATACTCAAAACTGGAAGTTTTTTTAAGACTGTCTCGATGGTCTAGTTGTTTAGCACACCGCTTAACTTACGTCGCGGGTACGATTCCCCGCATATAAACATTTGTATTCATGGTTGTTTGCATCGGTCTGAGTGTTTTCTATGTATATTATTTATTTACAAGGAAATATCTAAGCATTTATATCAGTTGTCTAGTACACAAGCTCTGCTTACCGTGGGACTAGATAACGCTGTGTTAATTGTCCAGGGTTATATATTTATTATTATTTTTTAATCCCTATATATCACTATCATTTTGACACTATCAACCAAACGTCCCTACGTTTAGTCCCTACTTAGGGAGTCTCCCTTACATTTGCAAAAGACGAATTATTTCGAATAAAACATATATATTTTATAAATATTTTATTATTGCGTCGTAGACGTGCAACAATACAATACGTTCGATAGAACATTATTATTTATCCATATAAATAAATACTCCTAGCCCTTTCAGGGATTTGAGAACATTTTTACATTAATTTATTTATTTATATTATACATACATTCAAGGTGCACTAGATCTCATTAGATATCACTTGCTCTTGGCGCTAATACTTAATAAAAACTTTTGTATCTTGTTAGTTGTACGGTTTAGCGGCGTCTCACTCGACTTGGCTGTAACAGATAAATGTTAACAAATAAATTAGAATATAATTTTCAGAAAATTATAAATGTGACAAGTAAATATTAATGTTAGGATACATTGCTTAAAACAATAAATTTCATTATCATATTAATAATTAATTCAAATCTTGACCAACTCATATAAATCATATAAGAAGTTAGTATAAATCATATAAGTAAATATTACCAGAAACGGTATACATAGAAAAAAGTTCTGAGGTAACAACAAAACTTAAGAAAAAACAAAATACAGTCTAATTGAAAGCCAACTATTTTTAAGTCTGTTAAAAGCTATTCGAAGTAGACAAAAGTGTATATATATTTTGCCAATATTTCCTGAAGTGATAGATTCATTTTAAAGTATACTTTATGTTAAGTATAGAACCGTAATTTATTTTTATTTTTCAATTTCCTGTTTTTCTTGTTGCTTGTGAAGAGTTTATTGTTATTATATCACGTTATACTAACATGACGCGTAAGGTGTTCGTGAAGCCGGAGCCCTGCTTCCAGCCTGTAACCACAACAACATTGTCTCCAGTCTTGATGAAGCCGCGCGCGCGGCCGAACTTCAGTCCGTATTGGACGCGGTTGTCAACGTCCTTCAGCCAGTCACTCGCTGGGGATTCTGTTGTAAATAAACAACGATATTAATAAAGGAATTAATTCAATATAACTATAATAATGCTTGTTCCTAGCTGGCCTTTTGCAGCTTCACCGGAGTAATAAAGGAGCTAGTGTAGAGAGCACTTTAAACGGATTTAGGACATCAGCGCTGGCCGTAGTGATTTCGTTCACTGTTTGAATGGGGCAGTGGATCGTCCTGAGCTGAGGTTTGAACCGTCAGGCAGGACTCGGCTTTCAGCTGCTCCATAAATCCTTCCTCGAGTTTGGAGTACCATCTGCACTCGATCCTTATCGTTTGCTGTAAACGCCAGCTGCGGCTTGCATTATATTAATTCGAAAAAAGCACTCCGTAGTGGTTTTCTTAGTGGTCGACGGTACTATACAGCAGGGATGTTATGGATATTAAATTTCGGATACGGATAGGCTTAGGATATAGGAATGATTACTATACGGGATACGGATACGGATGCGGATGTGAAATTATTTAGGATTGTCCGTTACTTTCGGATAATTTCGGTTACGGATATTAATTTTTTAAGGAATTTCAAAAGTAAAATACAAATAGCTAATAAAATGGTTACATAATGTGTCTCAATTAGGCTCTGCCCCTATCCGATATTACACGGAACTTTTATTTCGGATACTTTCGTATATATCCGAAATGTTTTTTTATATCGGATATCCGATACTTTCGGTTACGGTTACGGAGCTCCCTAACATCCCTGCTATACAGTGTACAGTGTACCTGTGTACACGATGGGCAGCACGCCGCGGTAGAGGTGGGCCTGCCGCGCTGTCTGCGCGTGGCGCGTGACCGCTATGATGGGGCAGTGCGGGCGGTACTTGCTGAGCAGGTGCGCCGAGCGCCCGCTGGTGGTGATGACCACGATGGCGGCCGCCAGGCACGTCGTGGACGCCTCCACCGCCGCGATGGCCGTAGAGTGGGCCGGCTCACTTGGTCGACGCAACTGACACATATATTTTGTTTATATTCCAAAAAAAATCAATGTTTTCTGCTACCTTCTAATGGCAAATCACAAAATTCTACCACGAAATGGTAACGTAAAATGTAAAATGTCACATATATAAAGTCAAATGTTTGTGAATCATCATGAATCAGACAATAAATAATATAATTTTTATCTAGAGATTTTTCGACACGATCTCATGTTTTTAGTGGTACATTTTTAAACGTCACTATCGGCACGTCACCTCTTGTTACGATAGGATATGTTTCAAGCACAATTTTTTTCTAGTAATGACCTGTGACTCAAGGCGTTAAAAGCGATTATATAGTAATACTAGTGTAGATAATATAATATACTAGAGAACTGTCCCTTATAGGCATCTCTACTTTTTTAATAAAACAATCCACATCACTCACTGATAAGCCTCAGCATTTGTATTAAGAACAGTAACCTTCTACAGGTGAAACAATTCATAAAATTAAAATATTACTTTTCTTTTAATTATAAACAAACAATCAAATATCTCCTTTTTAAATATTACTACAGTTTACTATTAAACATTACACTTACCTCACTCACGAGATCAGTAAATAATTGTTTGTGGAAGATTGCAGCCTCTGCTTCTTTACATATGTTAGCCATCGTCAGCACACACTCCAAGGGATAATCTCCCTTAGCGGTCTCTCCTGACAACATAACACAGTCCGCACCATCTAGGATTGCGTTCGCAACGTCAGAGGTCTCCGCACGAGTGGGTCTGGGCTTCTTGACCATAGATTCCAGCATTTGAGTTGCACAGATTACTGGTTTGCCCACCTGAAATATTCGAAGACATTTATTGCATTGCTTAGGCTTGTAATGTGTTTGTTTAAAAAGATATAAGAGTGCAGTTTTAGTATATTACGGAATGTCTAAAGTAAGTTGTTGAGGTGTGCTGTGAAGAAGTATCATATTATGTATGCTATACAATTTCATATCCTCGTTCCTATCAAAAATACAATATATCACCAAATAGTAATTAATGTCTGAGCACTATGATAAGACGTACTATTCTTTGTCATTGGTAATGGCCAATTAGCACTTAATAACCTTAACTCTATTTTGCGTCAAAAGAAAACACCTACTATTTACATCAAAAATCTCGAACAAATCTGCCACAGAACAAAGAAGTATTTTAAGTAATTAGTAAGATAAATACCACTTACCCTGTTACAGCGGGTAATCATAGTTTTCTGTGCCAGGAACACTTTCTCAGGTGGGATCTCAATACCGAGGTCACCGCGGGCAACCATAATGCCGTCCGACGCCTGAAATACAACAAGCAATCTGCATAATTATAAGATACATAATACTCGCAGTTTGGATAGATAAATAGTATTAAATTTATTAAATATAACTGTATTATTTCATTGACTAGCTGCAGCACTGTCGTCGAAGATTTGTATTATTGAGTTTTAAACATTCAAACGTACTTATTTTCGTATATAAATAACAATTAATTATCGAATGTATAAACGCATGACTTTGCAATTACTGCACCTGTTTGGTTACTCCATTTCGCTATCACTTTGGGTAACGTTTCAGCATAATAAAATTATATTTGGTTATTAAAAATGAAGATTTTTTCATATAACTCGAATGGCAAACAATATAAAGGCACAACTGATGGTACGTGGTAACCATCGCCTATATACATGAACACCAGCACGGACATCACGTGATCATGGGACGCCCGTGATACCACTCACAGGTTGCCATTTCGTAAGACTAGCAATAATATCCTGCAATTTCTTATCTCGAATTTTACAAAAACCTTTTGCATCAGCAAATTTACTACGTGAATAAACTATTTCAAAATTGGAATTTTGATTAAAAAATCGTCATCTACATTCACGTTTTTTGATCTCGATTTATTCATTAGTACACCCGTGAGAAGTAGGGGCAAAATACTGGTTTATAACATTATTAGGATTCTACTTACAGCAATAATTTCATCAAGGTTGACCATGCCTTGATGATTTTCGATCTTGGAGATGATTTTAATGTTCTTCCCCTTCTCGCCGAGGATGTCGCGGATCTCCTGCAGCGCGGCACCATTGCGGATGAACGATGCGAAGATCATGTCCACCTAGTCACGGAAAATATTGAATAGAGTTAGTTATAGAATACCAATATAAATTATACCAATACATCAATTATAAATGATTGCAGGGGGACGAGCCTATTGCTGTCTCTTGGAATGAATCGGTATTATAATTTTCAACGAGTCAGTCAGTATTTTATAATCATCATTTTTTGCCTTTATTCGTATCAGTATGTCCTCTTTGTCCCTCAGAGTCCTATCAGCTATCATATCTGAGCTTACTCTCCGTTTATACATATCAGACAGTATTTAACAAACAAAAATGTTTAATGTCAGCCCAATCTTAACGCAATACGCCTTTAGGGATCTGTAAATTGGGTTTATTATTATTAACCGGTGTTTTCCTACCTTTCTTTTGTTAAGTCTCTTTCCCTGGATTATATATATTATTTACATGTCCTTTTGAATTTTGTCATTATAATAGCCTTCCCCCTATCCTCCTAATTGAAAGGTCCATCTGATCCATTATGAACCAGGTTAATAATATTTCATACCCTTCTCCATTCATTGAATACTACTGTGTATACGAAAATTGATAATAATTATAAGACTGGACTAAACTTAAAATCGAAACAAGAAACAAAGTCATCTTTAGGTATATTAAATTAAAATAGGATAGGATTAATTTATAGGTTAGGATTACTTTATATTACAGTAATAATTTAATTAATGATAAAACAGACATTAATAAAACATTTATATCGATACACGCGTCTTTATATTATCGCATGAATGACCACCGCATGCTTCTGTAAATGATGTATTACGTTCATTTTACGTGTTTGTGATAAAAGGATTTATTTATGTTAGATTATTCATCTGTTGTCAGACGACCGGCGTATACTGAAGGTCATCGTATCGTAGACGTCATACAAGATGAAGGAAGACTTAACAAATTTAATTAATGTGAGATAAAAGAACCCGTCATACAGTTATACAATAAAAATAAAAACAACTTGTCTTTGGGTAATCATAGTTCCGTGCCTACAATGTTTAGAAAAAAATAATAAATGTATTAACTAAGTATTGAGTCAGTTACCTACCATACTATTGAGTCTTTTTCTGTCTTTCTGAAAATTACTTCACAGGAAAATTTAGTTTCATTCATTTCTACCCTAATTTTTAAAACCAAAATGGAACTATAATTACTGTGTTTTATCTTTCCCAATAATACTTTATTTTCTTTACACTAAGAGTGTAACCTAAAGAAAACTTAGGGATGAAGTAGAAACAATTGTCACAAAAATTAAAATTATAGTAAATTAATCAAACTCCCGAACACAGTTATGCAAAATAATAATAATATTTTTCAGTACTATTTCATTATCATTCATATGTACATATTACTAGAAACATAATTGTCTATACATACGCCTTGTTCAACTCCGAAAAGCAAATCGGACTTGTCCTTCTCCGAGACAGCTGGCAAATCGACTGGGATTCCGGGAAGGTTGACTCCCTTTCTTGATCCAAGACTACCTGTAAGTTTACATATTTCATATTAAGTTTTTTGTAAAGCATTTCAGCATTCTTTTATACTGACGGTCTACCGCATTGTAAATGGGATCCATCTCCTATGTACAGGTGCAGTACCACGGTCATAACATGAGACGCTGGAGGTACCTTGTATGCGTTGCCAAGGAGTACTAAGATGTCATGCCTCCGTATGATACTTAGACTGGATTTCACAAATCGCAGTATAAAAAGTTCAAGGAAACTGAGTTCACCGTAAACTTGAAAAAAGGATTAACATTGATCTCGTTTTACTTTAAATGGAATTCACCAGCATTATATAAATCGCATTAAGATTTTCATTCGTTCACAGTGTTACACACTCATAAAATATTTAATGCAATGGGTAATTTAACTAAAATAATTTTAAGAAATATTTGTAATTCCATCATGTGATAATTAGGATAAGTTTTAAGTTTTTAATTTAATAAGTACTATTGACTACAAAATTTATAACAACAAGTTAAACATTATATTATTGATGATTCTTTTGACATTACTGGCAATTTTCTTTTTATTCCCGATATTATATTCTCAAACATTTGATTGAGGACTATTAATAAGTGACAGCTGCTTTAAACACGTTTAAAAAGTTCACACGTAGGAAATCGGGCGTTCAGAATTTGTAAACAAGTTTAGCGAAAACTAGTGCAGATCTACCATCTGTGAAATGCAAAATGAAACTGAACTCGATTAGTTTCTTTGCTGAAATCGGGCCATACAAGGATAAGTCTCCAAAGTCCGAACACATCTTATACAGAAAGCTGTTTGACGGCTCAAGTTGGTGAAACAGAGTGTCTACGCAGACAACTTTGTACAAAGAGGTAAAAAAATTTAACTTCATGCCAAATTTGTAACAAGATAATGAGAGAATAAGAGTTCCGAGACAAATGAATACCTACTGGGTTACTGTAATACAGAACCAAAACTAAAAAACCTTTAATTATTAAATATTATTAATTTCTCTGAATTATTAAATGATAAAACTAATTTTTTTACTTATTAATCATTTTAATTAATATATTATCTTTATTATTAATTACGACACCTTTTTTTTATCTTTACCTGAGTTGAAATTATTAATATTAGTTAATAATTATTAAAAAATATATATATTTATTTAGAATACCTACATGTTTCACAAATAAATACTTTATATCTTGGCACTTTCTTGGTTTCATTTCCTTATCTCATATTATTATCAAAAATATTTTTCAATTCGGGAAGTTTTATCTTTTATACAATATTAAATACATTGTATAAATATATATAATGTATGCAATACATGCATATACATTGTAGATGTAATAAACAACAATAATATAAAACAAAAGCTACATATACCTAATATATTACCTACTAATGACCTATATATCCCATTGTGTCATTTATCTTTACTATCATTGATATTTCTGATATATTGTTTAATTATTTACATGTTGTTTCGCAGCATTCCAGATAATCTAGTGTTCTAGACAGAATTCAATGTAATTATGATAACATATCATCATATCTAGGGATTTTGTTTTCACTAATTATGACGTCTTATAACAACTGGAGCAAACTGGATTAAACTCCTGCCTGTCAGAGAAAGCCAAGAAAGAAAAATAAATATACACTTGTTTATTTTTCTTTCTTGCCTCGCTAATATTTTTTTATTTGTGTTATTACTAATAGATTAAGAATTATTAAACAATTTTAAATAAAAACATATTTATCTTGATAATATCAGATACCTACTAGCTTTGGAGTATACAAACTTTCATCCTTTATTTACCCCTTACCCCTATATCCGTCCTTGTGATATGATTTATGCTAGCAAGATACCATGTCAGGATGACCTCCACGGGGTCCCCCTGGAAACTATTGCGTTTAATTCCTGGCGAATTCGCCACTATGGGCTTAACTAATCTGACTTCATACTCATCCTATCAGCCTACGCTAGTGGCCCGCTCCCTACTAGAAACTATCAAGGTCAATTGCTGATGAATTTGTCACTTTAGGCTAACTAACCTGACTTAATATTCATCCTACACTGGTGCCCCTCTAACATATATACCGTTGCATGGATCTATATTTAAAAAAAAACTAATAATAAATACCTCCATTTTCAATGGTGCAAGTGAGGGTGTCAGATGACGCTGACTGGCAGATCACCGAAACAAGTCCGTCATCGATGAAGATTCTGTTGCCTGGCTTCACCACATTTGTGATGTTATTGTAGTCAACGAATATTGTGGACGCGTTCCCCTTCTCTTGGTATGCAGGGTCGGTGGTCAACTTGATAGTGTCGCCTCTCTTTAGTTCCACCTCCGCTGAACCACCCTGGTAAAGAATTTTAAAGTTTAATTTACAAAGACAAAATTAAGTATAGAACCCACACTTTTTATATGTCATTGGATTGGGAAACATATTCATGTTAGGTAACCGCCTGTTTTAGTGGCTTAGTTAGTTTCACCATATATTTAGTATAGCCCTGCTTTTCACTTAATAAATAAATAGATAAAACACCATTAGTGAGTAGGTACATAGTAAGTACATGTTATTCAAATCACTTATATCACAAAAAGTACAAAATACTTACAATGCTTAATAACATGATTTAGTAAAATCTTATCAAATATTTTTTGCGATATGCATCAGACAGATATAAATGATCATTTTCGGGAATAAAATATTTATATTCAGAAAACATTCAATTTTATCAATTTATTTGTTATTGTAGGTACAACCGTACATCATACCTAATCATCATTCACTATTCAATATGTTTAAGACTAGTTGTTATTCGCGGCTCTCCTCGTGTTGTATTCAGTTTTATTGCTAATTTAGTAAAAAAGTAAAAGAGATTAGTTACTTCGCTGCACATTCAATACAATACTACTAACTAGAACTAGACCATTATATTAAAACTTTACAGTTGATTTCCGATTTTTTAATCAGTAATGTAGTACTAGCATTTCGAAACGACGCAAGTTCCAACAATTATTTCATTGAGCAATACGCAAAATTTCGATCAGTTTTCCAAATCAAATAAATTGGTGGTAATTAAAAAAAATAAGTATAATAATATATCTGAAAATTTAAGTTTAAAACTATTATATACAGTAATACAACATAAAGAAAAAGAAGATTAGTACTTACACCTTCTAAAAGACCGGTTCTAATCTCTGGACCCTTGGTGTCCAGAGCGATGGCCAAGGAGAATGGGATGCCAAGTTTGGCACTGTAATTCTTCTCTGCCTCTCTGCAGTTCTTGATTGTTTCGGCGTGGTACTCGTGGGAGCCGTGTGAGAAGTTCATACGAGCCACATTCATTCCCGTTTCCATCATTTTCTCAAGCATGTCGACACCGCGGGAGGCAGGTCCTGATGTAGAAGGGATAATGATGTACTAATATATATTTATTTGACGGCCTCGGTGGTCTAGCGGTGTAGGTCTCGCACGGCATAAGCATTTGTAGTCATTATGATTTGTATCGCCCTGGGAGTTTTCTATGAATAATATATGTATATGCGACAAACATTCTATGTATTTGTATCAGTTATCTAGTACCCATAACATAGGCTTTAGCTAGCTTAACTTGAGTCTAGATGGCGCTGTGTAAATTGTCCTACGTTAATATTGTTATTATTAATTATTTACAAACTCACCTATTGTACAGATGATGCCCGAGAGTCGAACGTATGACGCCTTGGAGTCAATGTCGAGGGCGCAGATATGTTGCAACTGGGAGGTTGCATTGGCAGCAAGCAACTGCATGCCGGGCTTGTCTGACGAGCCCGTCTGATGACAATAATAAAGGTAATTAATTCTTTACGTATGTCATCTAACTCCTAATCGGATGGGCCGATTTCGATGAAGTTTTGTGAATATGTATATTTTAGAGGTTTGCTGGTGCAGGTTGTTCCAAGGTGCAAGTTGGGGCCACGCGATAAAACACTTTGCTGCGGTTCTTACACATGTATTTCTTTATGATAATGAAACGATTATTTCACCAGTACTAATTTTGTACATACTAGTACTGGTGGAAAATGAAATCAAATCAATTAGATCTTTATTGTGAATTCTCTACGATTTAATCACAATGGTCTCTTTGGTAAACTTTGGAGATTATAGAAACCTCATTGCTAGCAATGGAGTTACTAACAAATTCCACTCTAAATAGGATCAATAATGAAAATAAGGTTAGGACCTTAGAGCGTCAGGTCGACCTTATTGTGAAACTGCCGTGGTTAAACTCTGATAACTTCGCCACTATGGATTAGCTGACCTGACTTTTGCATCTAACTTGAGCTTATTCTCATCCTATAATCCTCCACTAGTACCAGATCGCATATAGCTTTAGCACTTGCACCATTACATTATCAGCAATAAACAAAAGTAAGGGGATTCTTGAGCTGTTATTGATTTATTTCTGTAGTCAATGTATGTGCTAATAACCTAAGTACCTACCTAAGATTAGCGTTCTGAGAATTACATGATACATTCAGCTACAGAAAGACAACAAAGGAGCAGCTAACTTTAGTCATAATATGACTGTAATATGGTAACCAGAGATAATTATGTCTACGTCTACAAGTCGTATGTACTGCTAAGAACTAATGATACAATACATTAGGTACACAAAACCAGGGCTGTAATATGTAGTTGCCTTGAGGTATAAATTTTACGACATTACTGATTTCATATACATTATAGACTACATTGTATATGTTGTGGAAATATATGACTTAATAAAATACATTATGTCATTTTATTTATTTCATAATAATATATAAAAGTAGGGCATAGACATAGTGATTAAATTAATATAAAAACATATATATTTGTAACGTTTTATTTGGACAACGCCTATTGAATTATATAGTATTATAAATAGTACTTAGCATTTGATAATGTAAAAAAAATCTGATTAATATATTTTCACAAGTAAAATACTTTCCTAATATAGGACAGGGTTTTAAGTATATTTATTGAGAAAAATTAAATCACATATTCTAAAGAATGAAGTTTTTAGGTCTACCTAAAGATGAATAGAACAATATATGTAATCATTTTAAATACCAAACTTTGAGGCATATGTTTAATGAACAAAATGTTCAAATATTTAAGCAGACACTGAATTTAAATTGTATATATTTCAATAGGTAACGGACATACCTGATTGGGTAGAACAAAAGTAATAATTACAATTATTTAACATGTCAATGACTCAACTTGTATTACAATGCACATACAAAATACTGAATCACATTAAAATGGTAATACTAAAAATCATAATATTTTTCTATTCAAGAATATATATTACATTATTCAAAAGCAATAAAAAAAAAATTAATATAGGTTTGTAAAAAAGATATAAATAAAAAGGTATTAAAGAATTATTTTTTTTACATTTATTTTTGGTCATATTAACATGTTAAAGACTCATGCCCAGTGATGGTGTGCAACAAATCTAGGGGTTAAATATTACATATTTAAAAAATAATATATGTAATTAACAAATAAAAATGCCAGTCCCTATGTGAGAAATAAGATTTTTCAATGCAGTTTTCAACATGTTAAAAAAATATATTCAATTTAAGGTATTAAATTTTTGAAAAACAGTTAAGTTATTTAATTATATTTTAGGGCCTTGATTTATATGCTTGTATGGATTTTTTTAAGTAATTCTTTAGAAATTTGGTAACATAAAATCAGCTGTATAAGTGAAACACTAGGAGGAAGAGACAAAAACAAAAGCAATGGGCCAGTTTTTATTCAGTTGAGTACGAACATTTTAAATACAAACCAAAATTAAATAATAATAAAGCTATGTAAGAGGTAGTAATATAAAATGTAACAATTATGTCATAGACATAGAATATGTACATCGGCAGATAGAATTTTTTAAATGTAATAGAATATATAGAAGTAAAGAAAAAAAATACAAAGGCATAAAAGTAAATTATATTTAGGAGTTTTAATTAAATATATTAACACCAACCTATAAATTTACCTTCAGTGCCATTGGCTTTATACTATTAATATTCACATTCATTATTTAAATTAAAATATTTTACCTATTTGTGGATTACATAATGACATTAATAATATAACCAAGATTAAAGTAATAAAATTAAAGCAATAATTAAATAATTACTGAACAGAATTGTTAAAATTTATAATATTTGTCCGCCTGCTAAATAAATGAGTACATTTTCAAACCTTGAACTTTGCTTACACTATTAAAATTCAGAATATTAAAGAAACCTATATAAATTAAATTATTATATACACCGGCGTCAAATATTGTCAAGGCAACGCACGAAAAGAAAACATAGAAACAGTTGACGTAACAGCTGACATCGTACAAAAATAAATAGTGTTAGGAAAATCATTTACCTCTGTTTTGCCATCATAGACTGTTGACCAAACCATATTCACAGAACTATTATGTAGAACTCGTACGTTAAATTGAACGTTAACCAAAACAGTTGGCGTTTGTGATCTTGAACTGCCCTTTAAACGTGGAAATGTTCGCCCCAAACCAAAGCCCGCCGGACTTGCGTATTGGGCGGCGAAACAGAAAAGCGAACGGCGCGCGCACCACTTAGCCACGACTGTAGGGTGAGTGCAACAATAGAAACACTAGAAACTGAGTATCTTATCTATTTTCATGATAATTATTTTCAAATAGCTTCATATTCTTCAGTTTTTTACTTTGTTATGCATTATTCAGGTCAAAATTGCAACTAACAAATTTCTATATCTCGCGACTACAGATTTGACATTCAGTTGGTTCTCTAAATATACATATTTGAAAACTTGCCAATATTTTGGTAGATAATAGTATATTAGAGGTTTTGTCTTATTAATTTGCTTCTTTTATGTTTCGTTTCCCGCGTTTTCATTATGACAATAAAAAGAGCTGTTTCCGTTGTGGACTTTTGATTTTCGTTTTTCCGTATCCGGTAAAATCATAGATTAAATAATAAACAGAATCCTAAGAACGAGAACTATGTTATTAACAGTCTATGAATGACCAGTGTTATAAAGGTTTTAGTACAGTGTATTATGTAAAGTTTAGTCAGACTATATAATTTGTTAAGTAGTATTATCTATAAATATTATGACTATATTTAGCAATTCCTACTCCGTCTAAGTACAGATGTGTTGACAAATCACTTCTATACTACTTACCTATATAAGTGAGTGCCCCGAAATATCGATATTTACTCGATATCTTTAAGATTATTTTATAAGATCTATAAAGATGTCTGGTTGGTAGAGACCTTTTATTTTAGGTCATCAGGTTTTTCTATACATATAGGTACATATTCCATATATTACATTTATTCTAGATATACTTTCTATTCGATCCCATGTATTTTTTGTATATAATATAGTTTTGGCCATATTGTATACCTACTAAGTTTTTGTTATTTATAAGTATACTCCATCCATTTTGGCATATTCCATAGAAATTTAATTCACTACAATATAAAAGTATATTCGATAACACAAATTGATTATGGGAAAATGTCAATCTGTTACGATTACTAGATCGAACTTGATTCCAAAAATCTTTTACACTGATAACTTGCGTAGGTTTTTGTTATCTGTATCATGCACATACAAAGCAGCGAATCATTTCATTCTAATCTAATTCATCATACATCATCATACTTTAAATAAATCGTTAAAGGTAGGTACATCTTATATGAATAATCGAATTCATGACTAGTTGCTATATATTAAAAGGGAGCAGTGTTAACGTAAAGGTATCTGCAGGGATCGTCGTTTTCGTTTGTTTATTGAGTCTGTTTCTTTATCCAATACATTTAATTAACTGATATGAGAGCAAGGCTCCTTCATTATAAAATACGAATAATCAAGGTAATACTTTGAGTATAATGAGTTGCAAAATGGCTCAATCTAATGCTGTTGCTCCGGAATTATACTCTATAGAATACGTACATATATTGACATTATATTATATGAAAAATAACTATTCTGTGATTTTAGGTTTACTCCTTCATTCTAGAGGCGACGATGTTTTGATAAAATGTAAGTCGAAATGTAAAAGCAAACATTGAATCCTTACAATATGTAATATACCTATATTAACCATGTTAACGTTCCAGAAAGAGTTTAATAACTATTATTATAATTCGAGTAGTTACATGCTTTGAGGAAAATTATTTACTTTTAGAAATACATACATATTATAGCTGAATGCCGGTTTCTAGATCGCTGTAATTTTTCCGTTATACGCTTTATAAACATTACTTCATCGATGTTTTCGTTGAATTTTGATAAATGGTATTTATATTATTTCTTATTGTTATTAAATATAATAATAGATACTTTTGAAATTATTAAAATATAAATTATATATAAAATAAAAGTAATTTATTTTATGTAAATATAAACGTATACATTTATTTTAGGTTATGTCTTATGACTCACTGTTATAAGACATCTATGAACAGTAGGTACTGATTGTATTTGATGAATATTGCAAGGGTATTAGTAATCCTAATTATTAAAAATATATTACATTATATTTGAACAAAATTATCTTCAATTCAATCAAATATATACAAAACAGTTTATACAGACGTGATGCTATTTTAAATAACTTTAACCTTCTTTAACCACAGGATATTATTAAAATCCCCAAAACGAATTTATTTATATACGGTAAAACAAGATACTTTCTAATCTGTTTTTTAAAGTTACGGTTATATTTCCTAAAACTAAAGTGAATTTATACTTACAAGCGGCATTTTAGATGAAAACTTATTCTTCTTATATTTAATTTGTATATAAATTATTTATACGTAATATTGTTCGTAGTAACAAAACGAATAAAATAATAATTAAGTAGTTTAGTTTGACAGCAACTTTAATCAAGAATGGTTAAGGAAGGACTTTAAAGGTCAACTGAATGTCACACAGGTAAATGGAAATTTTTAGAATAGAAACACTGAATCGTGATTTATCTAGTTTATGGATAGTTCAAATTACAAACTCTTTATAATATTTAATTAGTATTTAGTACTTATTTTCAAACAATAAAAAATAGCTTACATTGATAAATATTTCATTGAAATATTTAGGTTATAAGTTGATCGTTTTTTATTTAACTATGATCATATATAGTTGTCCTATTGACATTCGTAGTCTGCGAGGCATCCGTAATCATTGATGAATTAATTTTATATATAATACTTACATTACATAGTATAAACTGTTATATTAAAACATATGCTTCCATACAATGTTTTTTAATCTTTAAAAAGTATCTTAATTTATAGATACTTTACGGCTTTACCTATAGGCAATATTTAATAAAATTATTATGTACTTACTGTTTCTGATCTATTCTTTATTGCTTTCATGATTCTAGTATCTCAATATCACCAACATAAAATTAACAACTGAACACAGATCAATTGGTACAGAGCTACACAGAACGAACACAATTACCAATTGACCACTGTATAGGTACAACTGTACGCAAGACAATTTCAAAGACTCGTGTACCCTATTTATCAGTTGATAAAAACATGCATACCCTCTTATCAAGTCACCGGGTCCTATCTCTGACCAATTAAGTATTTATTGGAACAAATATTAATTCGTTCCGAAATACGTTTGTCATATTTTTTACACTATTGAAACAGCTGTATTTACCTACGTACCTAAAATTAAAGTGAGGTGAATAGAAAGAAAAATATAACTTTTAAACAGTCTGTAAACCTTACAAAGTGTTTTTTTTCCATTTTTGAACTGATTTTGATGATTTGTTTTTGTATAGTAGTTTGATGTCCGGTTTTCTGGAATATATTTTTATTTATAGATAATTCTGAGTTTATCTACAGCTTTGTCTTTTAAAGAAACCATAGTGTTTTTGTCTGATTACGTTTTTAATAAACAAACGTACAAATGGACATGTCTTATCATTTTTAATATGTATAAAATATCACGACCTTACCACGCCAGGAGCAATAGTGAGTCATTAATCAACATTTATTAAACACTCACTGTCCTCCGAAAAAGATAATTGAAATGTAACCGTAACATTGATTTGGTAGCTTGTAATCATTATTGTTGCCTCAATCTTTCAGTGGAAGTTTTTGGTAAAAAATGACAGTAATATATTGCATTGTCGTGATTCTCTGCATCCTTTCTCCATTACAACTTGATTTTAATCTATTATTTTTAGGTAATATTAGCGGCCAATCAACAAGGCTTGATGTCCGGCGTTGTGGATATTTTATGTGAAATATTGTAGTATTTCCTTCAGAATAGTAAAAAAATACTTAATATAAGTGTAACGTTTCGGAGATTCCGAATTTAGATAAAAATATGTTAGTGAAGATATAGAATAAAAATTAGTATATATTTTCCATGACGGTGAGTTTCGGTTGCTTTCTGAAAACGTTTCATTAATATGAAGCTAATTATTTATGAAATAATTACTTTATTGATAGTACCAATCAATAAAATACCCAATATACAATTATATTAAATTGGGTAATTTGAATACAATATCTGACAACAACAATTATTTGACATAAATGTATGTAAAATAATAGTTGTGTACATAATTTATGTAAATCAAAAATAAGTAATGATGCTGTAGGTTAGTAGGATATAATAAAGTATAACATCGTTGAACTTATTTTTATTATCCAAATCCAATTTACAATTAAAATTAACGATATAACAATTTGTCCGTTAAATCATAAAAATAAAATTCGTATATCTACTGACAAGATTTTTACCTTTTGCAAAGGTGTTAGGAATGGCATCCGAAAAATAGCATAAAAGATCCTTTCCATGATTGGTAAAACACGTTCGATTTTTAATTCTAGCCGAACACTCAATTTGAATACATGCTCTACAGAACTTATTATTTTTTCATTTCATTAAATACGCAAGGAACCTAATCATTTCTTTAATATTAATATTATAAATCACCACAATCAATGCAATACTTTAGTATTTGATTGCATAGTGAAGGAATGGCGTTTCTTGATACCTATTCGTGCTTTTTACCTCTCGTAAAATTTATAAAGGAAGTCTATGCATGTGGTCTATGGTTTTATGTGCCGGTGGCTATCTACCATATGTACTGAGCAACCAGACCTGAGAACACTATTTACTCCAAAAAGGTAACAAGTAAAAATATAAGTGTAAGATAAATACTTTGGCAAATTATGTACAAAAAATTAAAAGCTAGAATTAATAAGCGAACGTGATTATATTATTTAATTTTAATTATTGGATAACAGAAAATATTTTATCAATAAAAACACATGTAGACATTCTGAATTTCATTATACCTACATGAATAACATTGGGTACTGTGTGATGAACAAAGAGAGCACATACTGTAAGGCTGCCTCTTTATGTCTCCATTACTGTCAAATTTCAAAAGAAATTTAATTACCTTCAGTTTATAATCGGAAATTACATTCTGATTAATAAATGTACCATCGGAAATTATATTCTTATAAATAAATATACTACTTTAAAGAAATCACCGAAACCGTTGTTGTTTATGTTTTGCAAGTAGTTTTGTGTTGTATAATATTTTACTAATGACATTAGATGTAAAAGCGGAAATTTTATAAGATCTAGTAATTGATCTTTGTACATACAGTAATCATGCTGTTTCCAGGGTCTTTCATATCATTAGGTTTATATGACCAAACCCATTCTTCTATCTTACCTTGACAGCACAATGTCATATTACAATATATACTAATCTTCAATTTTCATTAATATGTTCACAAGTATATAACAGGAATTCAGAGCAAGGCGAGACGCTGAGGCGAATGTACAATATTCTCCTGATAAATATATTTATATCGAGTGGAAACAATTCTAGTGAAAGATGGTTCCATCTATCGTAATTCGTTTAAGTTCACGTTACACAGTCATACAAATATTTGTATACAAAAATAAATCTGTACTAATATTTTAAAGAAGTAGTATGTTTGTATGTTTTTTGTTTCGGGTAATCTCCGATTGTGCTGATCCGATAATTGTTAATTAAAATTTCTTTCTATGTTAGATATACCTTATATTTTCCCCGAGTCCTATAGGCTATATACGACCAATACGAGCGGTGCAGCAAAAATGTGGCAAAAAATATTCACTTTCGCTGCGCGCGCTGCGTAGACGGTTGGTTACGTAAAAATATGTATGACGGAATTGTTCTCCTTTAAAACAAAAAAAAGTCATTGACAACATATGTCTATCCTATAAGGTTAACTCATTATAACCTTTTTATGGTAATCAAATTTTCTTTGAAATATGACAGGTAAACATTGCCAGGCGTATAGGAATCACGCCCGCATAAGGGCATGGTTTAGCTGCTACATAGAAAAATACTGTTGAAATTTTTCACAACATATCTATACTTAGTTCATAATAAATTCTTAATTGTATACTGTTAATTTGTAGAGAGCAGTCATAGAGCAAGCAATTATTTCGATGTCTAGACAACAATGTTTTCATAAACTATGCAAATAAACCAATAATGTGCGTTGATATTTTAATTTATAATTAAGAATATTTCATTTGTATTCGAGGCAGTAAAAGATAAATGACTATAATTATTGTCTATGGTTGTCTTTTAAGCTTTTTAATTTAAAGGTTTGTTTCCATTAGGTCATATGTTCACTAGTAAGCTAACGACAATGCATTTACATTTATCAGACACTACTGTCCCAATGGAAACAGCCCTTTAGTAATGATTTGTTACAATTAAACATTCAATATAAAACAAAACATAATTATTCATCTAAAGAAGCAGACTAGTTACTAATATTCCAATTTCAACACAGAACCAATTGTAATAAATATAAAGGAACAGCAACTATTTGAACAGATACTTTCAAATCGAGTTGTATCGTTAAACAGAGATTAATATTGTGACTTCAAGCAGATAATATTATAAAAAATCGTAACACTGTGATTAAACGATTTAAGTTTAAAAATAGACTATACAGTATTTTAGGCCCACATTTATTTATAAATATATGTTAACAGCGCAGCAAAATACATTTTTCTTTATAATATTTTATGCATTCAACATGATAATTTCAAATATACATCAGTATACAATGGAAGGTTAATCTGAACTATTACATATTTATTCATTAAAATATTGTCAGAGTAACAAGTGAAGATATCTGTGAAACGTTCCATATAATTTACAACTCCTCAATGGTTTTCTGTACACTAAATTTGTTATATATTTCTACTACATCAATAGTATCACGCGTCAGGCGCACAGATTATCCGCGCCAGCCGCTCGAGTCTCGTTTTAAGCTTAAAATAAAATAGCATAGTAACTAATGACACGCTTCGTACCGTACCGTCACTGCTATCCGAACCGTTCTAATAGTCACTAGTAGTCGACCGAGGGTGTTAACTAAAAACGACGAAGTATATATAATTTAAAAACAGAACGCAGCTCGCAAGGACGTCGTATGAAAGGAAAAGAACCAGAGTGGTCCGGCTGCGTCGACGCTGCGCGGGCCCGGCCGCGAGGCTGCGGCCCGGCGCCCGCCGCGCTCGCCGGCTGCACTAGCCCGCGTCGCTCTGCACGTAGAACAGCAGGTACGGCGTCGCCGCCGTCCGCACCTGCACACCACATTACTACGTCAAGCGAGTAACGATCGGAGGTAGTCGATCGAGAATATCAACAAGGCGTCGGAGACGCCAGACCGACTCGGAACACAACTACGGTTTTAATTAAAAATCAAATAATAGTAAAAAATGTATATTTTTCTCAAAAGGGCTCATAGAGAAGAGAAAAGTAACAACAAGAAGTCAAAAGTGACAAATAAAAAACAGATTTCAAAAATATAAAGTTTACATAAAGAATGGTAGACAAGCTGCAACACCATCTATGACTACACCTACTAGTCGCTGTAGTCATACATGGCAAGAATATGGATTATATTCTTGCCATGTATGACTATATAGTTCTTAGATGGGCATGGTACCCTATAATTATGCAGACGGGTCCTGGTTGTCTGTAGCAAGTTGTAGGTTTCTTTCTCTCTCGTTGTTAGTAGGGAGTGGTTGTGTTGAGGTAATTTTAAATGATAAAGATATACCATCATAACCATTTAGACCATACAAGGATACATTATATAACTAAAACTTTTTATATTCAAAATGTAACATGATCAACAAGGAAAATTTTAAATAAACTTCCATATCAAAATACTAGCTCAACTGATACAATGATTATAATTGATTGAATGACTGAACAGTTGTTATTTGGTACAAAAAGTTTGTTATCTTTCTAATTGAGCTGTCTTGGGAAGGAGATATTGAGAATACTCAATGATAGAGACATTAAAGATATTAAGGTCTCGTCCCTTCCACAAATAGAACGCCACCAATTTGTGCCAAAACAGAGAAACATAATTCCATCATTTGACAGGCAGTAAGTTTTTTCTAGTCGAGCAGTATCGGGAGACTTCTTCCCGATACTGCTAGTTCACTTCTACAACTAGCCAAATCGAACGCCACAGTCATGTACCAGAGAAGCATAACTCCACCATTCGATGCTTTGTTTACCTTGGGCTCCGCGGAGAGTAGATCCTCGAACTCCTCGTTGGATATAGGCTTGACGAGGTCGTCGTCGCAGGCGAGCCAGCAGTCGGCGCGCGGCCGCGGCAGGCAGCAGTCGCGTGCGGCGCAGGCGGCGGGCGCGGGGCGGCCGCGCGCGAACAGGCTCCGCATGAACGAGGGCGCGGCCGCCGCCTCCCCCCCGCCCGCGCCCGCGCCCGCGCCGCCCGCCGCCTCGCGCGCGCACCGCCCGCCCTCCGTGGGGGCGGCGCGCGCGTACGCCACGTAGTGCCCGCCCGTCAGCGTCTGCCCCAGGTGCATTATCACGGCCCATAGGATGTATCTGCAGAGGTTTTTTTATACGATAATGAAGCCACCTGCCCAAACGGATTACACAGGACACCAGTGGAAGATGATAATATGAGTATGAGGTTAGGTCAGTTGGCCCATACTGTCAAATTCACTAAGAAAGTGATAAACACTATGATTTCCAGGAGGAACCGCGTGGAGGTCGACTTAACATGGTACATTGGTAGCAATGGGGGGTACTAGTTTCCATTATTAACAATTCTCTCCCCCCTGTATGTGCCGAATCACCGTTGGATAAATCGGTTACTTTTATATCCAGTAACTGGTAACATGTCCAAGCTTCGCATGAGTGAATAATTCCGCACCATTGGGGCGAAAAAATACTTTGTGATAATTTTTATTTTACATAATGTATTATTCAGTAAAAGAGGCCTTCATTTAATTTGAAAACGTATTTATTGAAAGAAAAAGATATAATGCGTAGTTAGGTTACAGAGTAGACACAAGTTTTCTTTTTTTTATGTTTCTGGAAGCAGTCTACAAAATAATAGTGTATTATTTTTATTGTTAAGCTGGTATATCCAATTTGGTAGCCCCAAATTGGATAAATTCCTAATTCCTAAATCCTTCCTAATTCAAAACATTCTGACAAAATATTCTAATAGTTAAATTGTTGTGGATGTTTTTTTATGTTAAAGAGTTAGTCTCTTTTATTTCGTTGTTTTGCTTTTACATGTAGTAACGTCGAATCTCATAACATTAAAGTCCTGCCGCTCAGAGTTTACGTTTCTGACAGGTCGGGATCAAATGAGTGATTTAACTTTGTACTGACTAACATAACCACATCAAACTGTGTTATTTTAAGGTTATTATCACATTACTACAAAAACAAATAGTTGACATAACCTTGAAGCAGCGAAGTTTATTGTGATTTGTTTATAATGAACGCGTCAAATTTAAAACGGTATAGAACATATAGATCAGTAAGTACTGTGAGAGGTACATAACGAGAACAAACCAATACCTGTGGGCGGAGGGCTGGTCGGGCTGTCGCCGCGTGCAGGGCTCGCAGAAGCACGGCATGAGGAGCGGCGTGGGCGCGTGGCGCGTGATCTTCTCCATGCCGCCGCTGAACCGCTTCAGTTGCAGCACCAGCAGCCGCGGCAGCCGCGAGTACGCCACGCTGCGCCGCGCCTCGTTGTAGCGCAGGCAGCGCTCGCACCAGTACTGCACACGAGGGGAGCGGATTATTATTATTTGTGAATTATAAATCTATGATCCACCCATATAACGGTTTAAGCTGGCGGAGTACCAGCGGAGAATGATAGGATAAGCATGAGGTCAGGTCCGTTAGCCCATCGTGACAAATTCACCGGGAATGAAAGAATGTGTCGTGTAAAGTCTGCCTTTATTTATTACCTTGTTCTGGTCGCGTAGGTATTCGCTGGAGAGGCACGCGGCGCGGAATGGTTCTTCTTCGCCGTCTTCCTCGCACACCGGCACGCACAGCTCGCACACCGCTTGCGCCTTCTCTGTCACACTCTCGCACTCCAGGCACATTGTGCGAACCACCATCGTACCTGTCCAGACAGGGGAAAGGGGTTTATTATTAACTACTAACGAACCCGTACTCACGGATGCACTACTAATCTTTGAATTTATTGGCTTGTTATATACTAAAAAATGCTAATACATATAAGCCTTCCTCTTGAATCATTCTATCTATTAATCAATTGCTAAAAACTGCATTAAAATCCGTTGTGTAATTCAAAAGATAGCAGCGATATTGTTTCATACTATGTAACAATAAAACAAATGGACATCCCATTTGTTTTATGTCATCAATAACATTAAATTCTTTTTCATAATAAATGTTGCTGAAACCTGCATTTAAATCCATTGTATAGTTTAAAAAATCTATGTGGATAAACAGTGTCCGCGACTTTGTTTTATACTATGTAAAGATTATTGAATTATAAATATACCTTCAAAATCATCAGCAACAAAGTCCCAGCCTGGCCGCGTCCTCTCGTCTCTTTCGGTGTCGGCCGGCGAGGAGGCCCGCTCGTCCGTGGGAGAGTTCCTCTTGTCGTTCACCTTCACCTCTTTACGCTTCTTCCACGATTTACGCAAGTTGCCAAGTGTGGGCTTTGCCCCATCACCGTCCAAGCTTGGCTGGCGACCGATTCCGTTACTAAAACAAAATTTAAGTATTTCATAGACAGGTTAACACGGGCCTAATTTTATAACAATGTTAGCTTTCGGTACTTCTACTTAAGTACCGAAAGTTGATATATCAATATTGTAAGATGCCTATAGTCATGGAATCACATCTGACTGAATGACTATCTAAGAATGTCCAAATACAGGATTTTATGTAATTTTTATGATAGGCTGATTCATATTTAAACATTTATTTTCAGATTACAAGCGAGATTATATTTATATTAGTAAAAATAAAAATGCAAAACATATCAATCCACCATGATAGATCTAACACCAATCAGGAGCGCGTGACGTCACTTATTCGTAAACAACATCGGTGTACTCAATTTAACATATTTTATGCTGGATTTGGCATACTTTTACGTTTTTTAGCATACTTGTTGTTTGTTCAAGTCACCGTTTATAGGCTATGTGCAACAGCATGTTTTCACTTCCTTTTTCTTATACAAAAAGATGTGAGATAGAAATAGACTACAATATCGCATACATATGTAATTTGAATTGAAAAATTAGTATAAAATAGTATAAAGTAAAATAGTATATTTTATAATATTAATAATAATAATTTTAATAAATGTTATGTGTACCTCTCTCCGTTTTCATGTATTTGTAGCCTAGAAGCTCGCGAGGAGAGCGCCCGGCACGTCTCGCGAATGTTGTCAAGGATGCAGACAAGCAACTCATGTGCATCTTGCTGTCTGTTACCTGCAATTAACGTAAGATATATAAATGGAGATTGAAGAAAATGCGAAAACAAAGCTTTCGGTACTCTCTCTCTATTTCACATATTCCTGATCAAGCAGTATCCTTAATTGAAGAGTGAAATATGGAAATGAAATTACCTCTATTACGTCTTCAGAAATGAATAGCATGAGCTTCATGCGAGTCACAATGTATTTTGTGAGTCTATGGATTCTTATGTAAATAGTTAGGGTTGCCACTTTCCATAAGGTGCACCCCATTTTATTTCAATAACAGTTGCATAAAATTACCTTCAAATGTGGAGTTGACATCCCTAAGAGCAGCTAGAAAAGCGTCAGCGGCAAAGGGTTCAGGGCTCGCGTCAGCTGACCCGCTGTTGATACATTTACTCTCAGCCGCACGTAAATTAAAATAGGTTTCATGTAATTTCTCTGTTGCTATCTGCAAATAAATATATATATATATATATATTACTAGGTGAGCCTGTATCTCCGAACTTATTTGTTTATTAATTGGAATAAAACCAACAATATTACAAGTGAATTTTACCAGATTTCATTAAGTTAAACCAGCACTCAAAATGGTTAAGCTTGTTACTGAGATTAACACACACTAACAATAAACAGATTCTAACAAACATTGCTCTGGGGTCGATGACATTGATAAAGTTTCCCATATCACCATCTGGTCAGTAACATTGTTTTATATATATAGATTTCATTAAATAGAATAAAAATATTTTAACTCAGTTTTATAATGTACATTTAAGTCATTAATAAATCATTTCAAATTAATTGATACAGGTAAATACAGGTAACAGGTTCCTGCTTCATCATTTACTTATGAACTGAATGGAACCAACACAGTGTAACCTACCCTATACTAATATTTATAAATTTAGCTACAATATAACACTTGGAGGTGTTATTATAATAACAATGAATTACATCTAAACAATTAAACATAAACATATACAACCATATATAATGTATTGGATCTGTAATTTGGCGGATTCTAAAAGGTTTTGTCAAATACGATGGGTATTCAAAATGTTCTCGGGTATGTATATAATATAAAGAATCATCATTGGATCTATAATTTGTGGGTTCACCATTGTTCGATTACTGAGTTGAGACAGATACGGGATAGCGACGTTCACCATTGAACCTACTGGACGAACAAGAACCTACTCGACCATCTCCTGGTCGCCAGACGAGCGCGAGTGCGTTGACTTACACGCCATTGTATCCTGCTCTGCTGAGGCTGCACTCTCACCGGGTTGTGAATTCTCATTACTACTAATTAAAGGGGAGTAATAATCGCATGTGCTGATTTCTTGGTTGGGATCAACCCTAGATCTAATTTGATCAATGTGTCTTTGTAACATGGAACCATCGTCTGTTGCTAGTTGATAATCCGTGTCACCTAAGCACCGTACTACCCTACCCCTGGCCCACTTTTGACCTAGCCTATAAGTTCGATACCGTACTAATTGTTCTTCGCGGACCGCGCGCTGCGAGCCTCCCGCGGCCAACTCCTGGTACCGCTGTATTGCCCGAACTATACTTTCGCGATCGGGTTTTATGCAGTCGAGTCGTGTGCGTAATGCGTAAAACCTGTAAAAGCTGTGCTGGGCTTTCCCCTGTGGTGGCATGCTCCGTATTTCTATATTGTAATAAGAACCGCCACAGAGCGATGTCAATATCTTTTTTTTTTATGATAGCCTTGTTAATTACCTTCTAGCATATTTTTACTACGCTTTCTGCTGCCCTGTTTGAAGAAGGATGATATGGGGCAAAAAATATATGTTAAATGCCATTAACGCAAAACGTTAGAAAATTCTTCACTAGAGAATGGTGGACAGTTGTCACTATTTGTTTTGGCAATCCGAAACGAGCCCAAATTTCTCTGAGTTTAGAGATTACACCCGTGGCTGTAGTGTTGCCCATTTTAATTATTTCTATCCATTTATAACATGCATCTACTACTACCAGAAATGTATATATACATTTCTGGTAGTAGTAGATGCCTACTAACACAAAACTGGGCTGAGCCCGTATCAATTTCCATAGATTTTTTTTCTATAAATTAAAATGTTTAAACTAACCAGATTATAGTCCTTTAATAATAATTTCATTATGGGTTCACACTCGACGCGATCCTCCGAGTCCGACTCGGCGCTCTCTGGCCACAGCCGGTGCATGTGATGAGAGCGTGCGTGCGTGGGGTCGGCCGGGCGGCCTGCGCGCGCGTCAGGTCGCGCGGGGCGCGGGCCCGCTGCCCGGTATTTGTCCGCGCGCCCCGCCTTCCCACTCTCCTGTGCCGCCGTTGCTACCTTGGTAAACTCGATCCGCCCGCTATGATTTAAACATTCCTTTAAGTTCGGGCATACACGTTTCAAGTGTCCGTATTTCGTACACAAATCACATCTGTAGTTTCGAAAACGACATTCGGTCCACCCGTGTCGTTTATCACCACAAGCTTGACATCCTCCGCCGACATACAGACGATTCATATCTCGCTCGATGTGATTGACGCCTTCCATACTCGTTCTTTGCATGGACCGGTGCCGGGCAAAGCCCGTGCCGCCAGACTTGCGATTCCTCTGCGCGCCCGCACCGTAACCCTTTCCTGTGACCATCTTACATTGCGCCTCTCTTTCAGCTGCCTCTAATGTCTTCGCTAATGTCACTGCCCTTTTAAAATCTATGTTGTCTTCCAATATAAGACGCTGTCTCATATTTTCGTTACAAATTCCGAATACGAATTGGTCTCTCATAATTTCATTCAAGCTAAGTCCAAAATCACAGAATCTGGTCATCTTTTTAAGCTCTGCTACATACTCTGCTACACTTTGTCCGTTACGCTGGCAACATTGTCTAAACCGTAATCGTTCCGTTAATATTGAGGGTTTAAGAGATAAATGTCCTTGCATTAATTTCTTAACATCTTCGTATGTGTACTGCGACGGTTTCTTGGGTGTACATAAGGTTAACATGAGTTCATAAGCTCTTTCTCCAATTACAGATATTAACGTCGGTACTTTTAAATTTTCCTTGGTTCCGTTTACTAAGAAGTACATTTCAATTCGGTCACAATAAGATCCCCAGTTCCCATTTACGACATCGAACTCACTTATTTTACCACTCGACATTCTCGTGAATGTATGTACTGTCACTATGTATTAACACCAATATACTTCAAAAATGTAAAATCATCCTCGTCACTGATAAATAAGACGATTTCTGCTTCAACATGTACTTATGAACTGAAGGGAACTAACACAGTGTAATACTACCCTATACTAATATTTATAAATTTAGCCACAATACAACAACTTCAAATTTGATCATGTTACCACAGCATTTGTATAAAGGTACTGTTAGCAGTTTGGTTCTTTGCAAAAGTTGTTTAGTTCTAGTTGCATTTTAAACAAAATGTGTAATATATAATCTTATCTGCCTATTAAATATTAATCTTTAAAATTCATGATACAGTATCATAAATTAGTGTGGCTTATACAATAAAAAAAATATAATCATTGTAGTATAATAATAATCATGTTATATAACCTAGTTACTGATATTTTATCAGTTGACAGACTTCTCTACATTATCTCATGAGATATTTATGATCTATTGTTTTTTTAACTATCTTGTGTATGTTTTATGAATACAGTATAAAAATTACTTTCAAAAGACTGTAGTTTCATGCTCATGGAGGTTAACCTATATTGTATATTACTAGAAATGGGGTCATCAGTTCACATTTTTAACTAATCCCTTTCCCCCTAGGCTGCAAAATTAAATCTATATTGATTTTAATTTGGTATATCTATAAATAATAATACAGAAACATCCATACCTGTATTTTACTTTTCCCAGAACTGTTGTCTGATTGCCCTAGCGTTAGAAGGTCCTTACTGCTCCAAGACCTGGTTCCTGAGGATGCCAGGCCAGCAGCACTTCTGCCCAGTGACGAACTCTTTTGTCTGATACTGCCAAGTTTCTGTTCTACACTAGCCAAGTCTGAGACAAGGTGATGTAGATTATGAAGGAAACGGGGTGCATATCTGAAAGAAAAGTAGCAAGTTGATTTAACTTTTACAACTACAAAGAAATTAGGAGAAAGGAGTTTAACTATACTATTTCTATTAATTTTCGTTATGATCATTACTAGTAGTAGTAACATAACTTCAATAGTTCGTAAAAAAGTTAAAATACAGGCAACAGATAACAATTTCCATCAGATGTAAACAGTAATACAGAGATAATTAAAACTGGGTTAGGATGAAAAGTTGTATGCATTCTCTATCTCCCTTTATATATGTACCAAAAAGGATTCAATGTAACTTAAAATGTGGTACATATATAGTATATAGGATAGAGCAGGCAGACTATTTTTTATATTAATCCTGTTCTAATTATCTGAGTGGTACTTAACTACAATAAGACTCAGATAATTACAATTGTGTATATAACTGTTACAATTTTTTACCTTGACTAGTAAAAAATTGTAAACACATAACATTCTCCAGTGAATAGATGGAAATGTTTGGTATTATATGTATATATACAACAACAATGTACAAGTCTAAGTGAGAGCCTATAACTAAATAATATTATATTACTTACCGTAAAGTATAGAGAACACTGTTGAGAAAGCAAGTATTCCCTAAGTTTGAGAGTGTAGCAATTGGTGTCTTTTTCTGCACAGTGCCCGCATACTGGTTTTGTGATGGGTGATGGCCATTCAACATGGCAAAGCTGGATTGGATTGGCTTATTTACTATCAGTTCCGGTTCTGTAGATTGCTCTAAAAAGAGATAACTGTATTAGTTTTTACAATGATGTAACAGTTCTAATATCTAGGACACTGTCATTGGGGTATTGGGGCCTTAATTTTTTACTTATATATACATGTTAAATTAAAAATCAAGAAACATTTTTTGTTTTTTAATATTCTATAACGCGCGTGTTACGCCGGGAAATTACGAAACTAACCTGATTGTGTTGACGACTCCAGAGGTTTCAATTTTTTTGCGGCGCTTAAAATATTGTTATATGTTTTGTTTAATGGTCGTTTCACTGGTTTATTCTCTTTATTATCACTAGTAGAGAGCTTAGAAGGGTCAATATTCTTGTCTCCTAGTTTCCTGTTCTCATTAGTCAGTACAACATTATTTCTGTTTAATGATAGAGAAAACCTAGATTTCTCGATTCCCTTTTTCGTTTCAGGTACAGAATTAACTGGCATCTTCAGTATACCTGCAATTTAAACATACAGGTAGTAATTAATCATGAAACACCGAGCCACTTGGAAACTTTCCCAAGATAATGTCCGATGTGTGACGATTCCATGAATATTCTAAAAGTATACTTACAGGTATAGCTTCATTAGGTGTGTTGACTTACATTATTTAGTAAGGCAATAAAACTTATTAGAAACTATTCACAAAAACTGAAATTTTAATTTATGTTATTCGCGAACAGCCCCTTTGTAAGCACTCGGCCATATTGGATTATGTATGATTGATTGATGTTGTCTGTCGTTCGCTGTCGTTCGGTCAACGTTGTTACATTCTTTGTCTATGGTAGTTCTATTTTCTTTATAAACGTCAAAATATTTTTTTATTTTAATGTCTTTAGATACTAACTTTTTTACTTTGGGAAACCCAATTTTCACTGTGACATGTGATACATAATATGTAATATTATTACATTGAGAATAAATATTGAAAATAATATTTATATTAAATAAATGAGATTCCGAACAATTTCTATACTACAATACTACAATAACTTTCTATCTCTGTATTAAAAAAAAACAATTAAGCAATGCCAGTGTTACGACATCGAGGGGAAGCAAATACTTTCAAGTGGTTCATGATATTGGTCCTCATGTTTGGGTTAAAATATAAAACACATTTGAATTACAAATATATTTAAACTTTGTTAAAACTAACCTTTGGTAACACTATCGCAAAGCGCGGTTTTTGCCGCCAAAATAATTATCACGTTATCTAGTACTGATAAAAAATTGTCGCGAGACTTGTCTTTACTCTTTGGTAATATGGAATGTAATGGATGATAATAAGTGCACAGGATAACATAATACGTAGAGGAATACATATACGTTTGTATTCTACAAATTTAATTGTATTTTCTGCTTATTTTGATGGAAACCGATAGAAGCAAAAAAATTTAAGCCAGGACGCGGCTTTTGTATTTGTAAATTCATGCATAATATAGGTATGCAAATCATATATAGATGTCGCATACATACATTTGAAAAAATGGTGGGGGAGGGGGACAGATTATCTACCATATCTCCCTACACGAATAGGTAGGTTCAAGAAAACGAATTTGTACGGACGTAATATCAACATCATAGTCAATCAGTACAAACAATTTTATAAGACAAATATGTACTTGTAGACGTAACAACAGCTGCTTAATCAAAGGGGGAATCCACAATGTCGGATGCCAATTAATTTAAGCCTCAGGATTGGGACACTAAATATTTATATACGTGACCGGTGCCTCGGAGTAGTGGCGTGATAATACAAATGCAAATTACCGCTGGAGTTATTTGTGCCTGTGTCAATATTGGCTAAGAAGCGGCCCACTTTGGGGTTTGTTTGAGTGATGCATAGCATTTCATAGCAACCCTTTTGGAGGGTTAATGAAATTATCGACGCTGGAAAACAATTATTATACAACTTTAAAAAGGAAAAAATCGGTTATAAATAGTATATCCTAATTAATTGTATAAATAGGAAAGAGTCCATTCCTGTCTGCCTGTCTCAATAATTACATAGGAAATAATAATAATTATTATCATAAATTCTTCTGGGTTATTACTATAAGTTATTACTCATTAGTATCTATGTAAGTAATGGATTTAATGATAATATCGTTAGAAATGCTTTATGAGTAATCTACTATTATTTAATTATACCTACTCCATTCGAATTCTTGTGAGATTTTCACTAGTTAGAGCAGTCAGTAAAAACAGTCTTACAAATTTAATGATACATGCAGACAACGTTTAGTTATACCTACCTACCTATCTATAGTTCATTTCGGCGAAGATTTGCCTTATGAAAAAATTATAGCGGAATTAAAAATTTGTACCTATTATAAAAGTAAATAATTGCGATCTTTGAAATAATATTAAGTAAAATAAACGTAAAATTCGGTATTTTAAGTAATAAAATTATACTCATATTTTGAACTAAAATAAGCATAATTAATTTTTAAAAAGTTGGTTTCATGTTCTAAATTCAAAAATCAATCAAAAGTGCAGAAAAAAGACTAGATTAATAGATTGAGATATATGGCGGACCTACATAAGAAGTTTGCAACTCCACTGTTTATTTTGATCCTTTACAATATGGCGTTTCATTAAACCTTGACCTTACCCAAAAGTTGTTGTTGTGTTGCCAAAGAAATAATTTATAACTTTGACTATTAATTTAGTTGTCACATTTCACAATCTCGATTGTTTTTGAGTTAGAGCAAAAAAATAATTATATTTTGATCACTTAAGATGGCCTTTTTCATTACTTTATTTAATTGTACATGTTGGGAATAATGGTTGATTTAGAAAAAGAATTTTATTCTGCATTCAACAACATTAATGTCCGTTAATAATTTTAGTATTGTCAAATTTCAAGTTCATTCATCATCATTCATCAAGTCATGGCGTCGATTTGTGACGTCACCAGTCGCCTGTAGCTGTTCAATGACAGGGCGTACTCCGGCGTACTCCGGCGTACTATTGTACGCCATGGTCGATATTCTTTTACACTAACTGACCTGGGCGATTTTGTCTGCATCAATCAAATCAAATAAAAAATCATTGTCCTACATGAATAATGTAGGGCATTTTAGCCGCTTATGGACGTCAAATATTTGTATTAATTTTTTTCCCTCCCGCCCATTTGCCCAATTTACCTATTATCTTATTAAATTAAATTATAGCTTGTGTTATTCTGATATATAAGCTATATTACTGTAAAGTTTCGTGAAAATCCGTAGTTTTTGCCCGAATGAAACAACTATAGCAACATGAGAATCATTTTATAAAAAGTAATGTAGTTTTTATTATATTATATAAATTAAAAAATAGACTTAGCAACCGTTGCTGTAATTATTATTAATATATACGAGTAAGTATCTAAATATTTATTTTATGTAGAAAAAAAACATGAGACATTTCAAACGAAATATATTTTGATATCAAATATTTGCATAAGTACGTACTAATTTGAAATTCCATTTGAGTTAGTTCTAGTTTCGAGTATTAGTGTACAATTGACGTTTGTTTATTGGACAGAATGATTAGTTTGAAATTGCTTTATTCTGTAGGCACGTACCTATATGAGTTCGCGTTACAAACATTAATTAACTTTAAACAAGTTTATTAACAGTGGTTTCAGATAAATGACATATTGGTTTTCATGAATAAATAATAGAAATATTTTGAAAAGTTATAGTTTATTAATTTTAAGCCGTATTCTTGTATATAAACTAGCAATCAAATGTATAGATATTAATGAAGTCAGAAATAGTTTTAGGATCCTTTTGCGAATCACCAAATTGGCAATTTTGAACTCCCATGGAGTGCCTTTCTGTGTTCGTGCGGTTAATAAAAAAGGCAGGTTGTCCGGAATGGACTTCGACTCCGTTTTATATTACTGGATCTACGTAGGTTATTTCAGTATATTTTTTATTCAGAGCCAAGTCATTATGCACGGATTTTAAGAAATAATATGGAACAAGATAATCGAAAAGTTCTTTATTTAAATAAATTTCAATTGTATTCTGTTGAATAAATTTTTTAAAAGCATTTTTAGAGAGACCAGACAGACAGACCAGTATCATACATACATACATACAGTCCATACACAGCACTCGTTCACGAGTATGACAGATATAATTAATAACATTAACTATATTTGCATATGAGGTATATTATAATTTAAGTGAGGTGGACTTCGTATAAAGTCATTACCGTTGATAGGTCATATATATATAGAGATATATGTTTCAAATAGACACAGAGACAGCTTATCTCAGTCGCCAAGCAGCTTGCTTTGTAAGATACGTTTCAGTTCGTGTCAAGCTTGAAGAGAGAGATTATAATGTTACAGGATCTGTCATCTCTTGGAGACATACCCTGTATGCTTACAGAGTATGTCTCCAAGAGATGACATCTTAGCCCTCCGGTAACATACATGACATGAACAGGATGGATGGACAATGGACATAGAATTTTTTAGTTATTTTGGATACATAGCTCAAGAACAGTAATATTTAAAAAGATGGTCTATTTTCAAATATTTTTTTTTTCAAATAAGATAAAGAATGAATTACCTCAGAGGAAGTATGAAAGTGGCACCGATGTCGGAGAAGTTAAAGAGTAATCGTCTATCGTGGTATGGACATGTAATGCGTAGGAATAAAGATCATATCCTAAAGACGGTGTTACATATGAATGTGGATGGTTATAAGGGTAGAGGAAGACCGAAAAAGAGATGGATGGACTGTGTGAAAGATGATATGTTGACAAAGGGAGTAAATAACGGGATGACTGCGAACAGAGATGAATGGAAGAGAAAAACATTACGCCGAACCCAAATAAATGGGATAAGGATGAAGCAGATGATGATGATGGTCTATTTTCAAATCTATTTATGTTGTTCGTGTACACACGCGACGCGACTCTTACTAAAAAAGTCTTCAGCTTGTTTGCCAAATCCATAAATAAAAATATATTTAATAACATTAGTTATATTTACAATTTGACATACTATAGCAAGACTACCAAGAATGTTAGTAGCGAGTACCAGTGGATATATTGTTTGTAATGTACTATTGAAGTTCGACCTCCATTTGGTCACTGCTGTTGCTATTTCGTGGTGAATTAGCCACGATGAGCCGAAGTGACTTGCTGTTGCTGATGCTGATGCTATCATTCTACACTAGGCGGGAGCACTCTCCTCCGATCGATACCCCGGCTAATTACAACGGCGATTGAAATTACGACGACTTGAGCCGATGTTCGAATCCCTAGAGGTCTAAAATCAGACTAAAGTCATATTAGTCAGGCAGAAGTTGACCTTCAGCCGCCCAATACGTCCTTCCGCGTGTTTGCATTGTCATCTGCACTAGCTCCCTATCGTTCGGTGAAAGTTTTACAGGCCAGCCATAAAGTATATACGTACCTATCAATACAATACGTACTATCAAACAATTAAATAATACTACAATATAATTTTAATTCTTTAATCTCAAATTACATACAGCTTTCTTAATAAATAATAACCTAGGTACTATATTTTTTTATTGACATAAAAATAGTATTATATTTATATTTACAGATCCAGTATTTACAATTACTATGACACGTATTTGCAACTTATATGCAGACAAATTAATTTATGTACAAATATAGTTAATTATAAAATATAATGACTATTAAATTAACAATATTAGCATAATCGCTGTGGTTTTTATGAAAAACAAAATGAATAAGTTAGACTTATACAACGTAAGTAAATAGTTTTTTATGATACAGAATGTCAAACAACCTGACTGGTAATCTAATCATTATTTATCGTCGTCTAACATGAATAGCACTAGTTGCAATTCCGAAAGACTAATAAGGTATACCTTCGATGTAGTAAATCTAACTCAGGTAATAAGGTAAGTTTTTTTACTAGGGTTTGTAGTGACCAGGATTTATCGGGACAAAAGTAACTTATATAACAATTGAATTAAGAAGAAAAGGAATTGAAGAATAATCTATATACATATATAAAAAGTAATCCTTATTCTCTTGGCCGTGTCATGACTAGAAAACAAATGAAACGATTATATACATTGTTTTCTAAGAATTTGTAGAAGATTCGCAAAATTGCGCACTATATTGAAAATTTTCTGAAAAGCCCTTTGACATATCGCTCATTCAATGAGCGGGGATAATGTCTATCGGGACAGCTATTAAAAAGATTGTACTAAAGTGTAGATGAAAATAAGCCTTAGATATACATTATTTTGTCTACCTCAATAAATTAAGACCGTACACTAACATTCAAGATTTTTTAACAAGATAGTGAGATATAAAAAAATATTTACAATATTACAGTAACATTTTAGCCAAGAGTCAAATACCTTATGTTCTAAAATCGCAGTAACATTTGTTGTATTCAATCATTAGGGTTTACGTAATGATTGAATCATCACCTTGTTTAGCATGCACTATCACCTCATTGTAATTGAAATTCTACTATCATCACCTACATATTTATTGAGTATTCCTGTTTGACGACCTCGGTGGTCCAGTGGTTTAGCAAACCGCTTTACGTCCGATGGTCGCGGATCCGATTCCTCGCACGGCACATACATTCATGAGTATGTTTGTTTGTGTCGGTTTGGGTGTTTTCTATGTATAATATGTAAGTATTTATGAAAAACAAATATCTATGTATTTGTATCAGTTATCTAGTACCCATAACAAAAGTTTTAGCTAGCTTAACTTGGATCTACATGGCGCTGTGGGAATTGTCCTGAGATTATTATTATTATTCCTTGTTTGAGAGCTTATAGCCATTTAATTATTGATTAAGTATGTTATTTCGTTTCAATTTCGTTTTTGTTAAATATACACAGTATTGAATATATGTTATAAAATAAATAATCATCAGTATATATATAATTTATTTAAATTTATTCTTATTTAGTCAAGGTTCATTGCTGGAAATTTAAGTCCTTTTTACAATACGTAATCTGTTAATGTACATACAGATAATGAAGAAAGAAAAGACAGGAAGTTAAAATAAGATATAAAAATTGTTTTTAAAATAATTTTCCAAACAACTAATTCACAATAGAGATATTTTATCATTTATCACTGTAATAATCAAATAAATTATTAAAATTAGTGGTTTACAAAAATGTAATAATTGAGTATATGTATAACGTTATATTTTTAATTAATTAGAGATGACAATAGTATTATTTTAACAACTCTTATAAAATTCCCACAAATTTACATACGAGCACCCATTTACCTACCTAATTAAATTTAGAATAGTTTTTAAGTACATATAATCATAGTTAAAAACAACAATAATATGGTTTTGCGTATATTACCACAAACTAAAAAATAGTAGAAAATGGTACATAAGATAAATAATATCCAAGATTATAGTAGGTAATACATTAAATATGTACATTTAAATTTCATCAAGTGTCAGCAGCATTAAAACGAAACGTATACAAAACTAAAATAGTTTATATGAAATAACCTAGTACATATATATATATATATATATATATATATATATATATATATATATAAGTAGCATATATATATATATATATATATAATATAGTACATATATATATATATAATTTAATACATATATATATGTTTTTAATTTCTCTTACTATTATTACTATTGATCACATTTTACGTCAAGAGTACAGTAATTTGAATAAGCTCATAAGCCTTTACAACTACTTCTTATAAAAAAGCTTTATTTACATGAAATACGCGATAGAACTAATTCATAATCACATTGAAGTAATAACTTGGTGGAATAAAACACATGTTTATGCAAATAAAGTCCTTTGGTCCTCAATTGAATGAACATAATATTATTTAAGAAATTATACAATGTCAATCGTTGTTACATTTATGGCAGAATATTAATCACGCCCCAGATATTAAAAATAATAAAAAATATATCATTTAGAACAATTCTGAAATTTGAAAATTAACGTATATTATAGAAACCCTAGGCTTCTATTCAGCTAATGAGTTCAAGCATACAGGTCGTGCGGAGTGAGAACCGCGCGCGGGGGCCGACACCCGCGTCATATCCACGTACGTTCCACGTTAGCATGCGCATCATTTCCGGCACACTCGTTGTGCGGTCCAGACGCGCCTCGTCTTTGTCAGGTGCTGGTCATCAAAGTATTGTTGTACGTGCTGTGCATCGAGATCCGTATTGTGCCTGTCGGTTTAAAACAAACGCGTTAAATTGCATTGAATTTAGACGGCGTCATGAGCATGCGAATCCGGTATTTAGCGGTAGTTGTATGTAATGCTATAAAGCGTTTGCATGACCTGCTTATTGCTGTCCATAACCCAGAGAATAGCTTGAAGCGCCAGGCTAAGGAATAGGGTTAGGAAACAATCTCTACTTGTTAAACAAAATACTACCTGGGAAAATGTAGAGCCTAACTACGGAATGAACCAAGCCAATTCAGGTAGTGCCACGAATATTTGTTTTACATAACATCGATAAAATCAAATTACCACATGACAGTTCGTAAATGACCCAGAATATCTCCTACTTGTGTATTTTATTTGCATGCAGCAAATGGGGAGACCCGGGTGGTTTTTTCATGAATTTTGTCGTTTTGGTAGTCACCTTGAATATACCTACGAAGAAGAATAGTTCCCGTCGATAATTTTGCACAAATCTTCGAGTCACGATATTACATCACAGTATGCTTACCTACTATAGGTAAAGGTTTTTATAAAACAAAAAATAGGCCAAAAGAAGCTACATTAGAACAAAAGATCGCTAAAGGTTATTAAATAAGGAAAAAACTAAAGTAATCAAGCAGTTTTAAATTGAAGTTACAGAAAGCTAACATCTATTGGCCACTAGGTATTTTTAATTTGTTATTGTTATAATGCTACTTACAATGCAGCTCTAATACGTTGTTATATTGTTTTTAAGACAGATATATACAATTTGAATGTACAACATAGATGCCTAATGGCAACTTACTGGTACCATTTTTTCTGCTAGGTGAGAGCGATCGGACGGATCTGTCGAGGCGATCGGTGCCAAAAGGCCTATGTCTACTGAGTCCACCGCCGCCCAAAGCACCACAGCACCAGAAGAATTGTTTGAAGCCTCGTCTAAACCTGACAAATCATTTAATAGAATAATATATTTTAATGATGACATATGTCCGTTGGATATTTATCTCGATAGCGGATACTATTTAGTATCAGAAGTCAGCTTGTATGTTATTGTTTAAAAAAACCTACCAATATTGTACGCTATAAATATAAAGAGCTCCTTTAGTTTGTAAAAAAACACAGAATTGCATTTTTATTTTTGTATTTACATTAAATTCAAGTCGATACGAAATTTTTACTTGTTAATTTTTCTTCTACTGTCCAAATTCAACGATGCTTAATTTAAGTTAAGAATAAATGGCAAAATACTCAATTAGTATTTACTGTTATATATTTTTTTAATTATTCATTTAATAATCAATCAAATATAGTCATATTTATGCATTGAATTCATAAACTTATGAAATATAAAATATTTAAAAGCCATACTTGGAATTCATCCAGCAGTATATGATGGGGTTGTACATAGAGTTGCTCATTGCTAGCCAGTAGAAGCCGAGGTATATTTCTTGTATGTGAGGGTAGTTCACTACGTCGGGGTAGTATGATGTGACCACGAAGTACACGTGGAATGGCAGCCAGCACACCGCAAATATGACAACCACAACTATCATCATTTTCACAACCTGCGACAAATAAAAGAAAATATGTAGAGTGGATGTGGATATATATATAACATTATATTCTGTATAAATATTAGAACAATAAAATTATTAAATATTTGTGTATTGTATGTACAAAATATTCTTCACTGCATGTAGGTCTTGATAATTTCTTAATTAAATTGTTACGATTTGATAGGTGTAATTTGAGATTGTGGCAGTTTATTGATCGTTAATAGTTTCTACTAAGGCATATTGTGACGGAAGTGGCAACATCTGTTTTGATATTAAAGGTAAATTGTGTAAATTTACCTTTAATAATAACGGAATATTTACATACATGAAAGATATTTTCACTTGACAAAAATGATTATATTACGCATTATTATGAAAATTCATTATTATCACAATGTATATATTCTATATGCCATTTAAAATATATACATAGATATATAAATATATACAACTACATTAAATATATACACATTTAAATATATAAATTAACAAAATCGGATAATGTATGTACAAAACAATTCTGTCACATGCAAAAGAACAAGACAAATAGGAAGAACGACTACAAAATACGAGTATTTACATAGAGACATAATAGAATTTAACTAAGTACTTAAAAATGGTTCGTTAACTTAATAAAACAGATAGAGCTGTTTAATAAAGTATAATTGATGTGTGAGAATAATTCAAGAAGATCACACTCTGCTTTCGTCATACTGCGCATGTTTAATTAATCAAATGTGAGTATGCCGTTAAATACACGTGTGTAATGCTCGACCGCATACACGTCACTTAGAGATTCATGATGTAATGACTGTGCAGAATTACAGTAAATCACTCTAGTTTGTATAATAAGCCAAGTGGTAGTAAGCTGTAAGCCTAACCAACAGTCAAGTCTATGCAGAGTAATTATGTTGTGCACAGAAAGCAATATGAACTATTACTAAATCATTTGTACTATAAACTGCATCAGGATTGGTCCACTTGTATGTAGTAGACCAGAATAATAGAATTATTATTTAATCTATGTCTATGCCCTCATAATTGATCGAACCCTTTATACAAATTTGATAGTGATTACTAAATTCGATTACTTATTATTAAAATAATTTAAAGACTCTACAATTATTCGATGTTAAGTATCCCATCGACAATTATTATAGAAATATTTGTTTTCTTGCAAATAAAATACAGTCTACAGCTTATAATTGCTCTCTGTAGGTAAAATTTTGTTTGAAATCGTCTAAGTGATATTTTAGTTTAATCATTACATTAAAAAAAATCAAATCCTCTCTACCTGTATTTATAACTACTTAATTGCAAAATAGTAGAAGTAGTTATAAAAACGGAGTATATAAGTAGTAACAATCTGAAACGTAGGTAAAATTTAAATAAAATATATTATATAGATACATTGCTTCAAGATACAACCACAAAAATCAATTAAAAATAAATTACCCCTGCCTAATTTATTTTCAATTAATTTTTGTGATTGTGTCTTGAAGTAATGTATCTATATAATATATTTTATATGGATTTTTGTAATTGTAACTTGAATTTTTCTTGAAAAATATTCATGTTCTCAGTATAGCATTCTATCTTATAATACACGTACTATATAAATTCCATATTAAAAGTCACAACTTTTAAAAGAAATCGTCTTTACTAATAGAGTACATTATTAAGATCTTATCCCCAAAAGGACCCGATGAATTGGATTAATTACCTAATTTCAGATAATTCCGTCAACGTAATTATTTGAGATTTTATATAATGACACTTAATTAAGTCCATTTGTTATGAAGAGTATTTGCTTCGAAAACTGCTATCAGATGGTTATTTGGATTTGTTATTATGATAAAATAATATTACGAAATGGTATTAATTAAAGTCTGTGGACTATGGAAGGCCATGGTCTTTGTAAGACCTATTATTATTCATACTCGTAAGTTCCTTTTACTTACACTAACATCCATTAATCTGACAAATCTATCAGTCCATGATTATTATATCGAATTTAAAAGAATAGAATAGAATAGAATGATTTCGGGATGAGAAGAACTGACAAGCAATTCTTTTAAATAAATGTTGTAAATAGAGATTATTTTTTTAATTAATTAAAATTTGGGAGAATCGTGTAACTACCAGTATATGTTATTGCAAAAGCAAATAGTCTAATAAGTGTTAAGCACCCGTACACAAGTATGACGAATGATAATATCTCTGTAATATTTAATACCATTTGTAGAGTTAGTTAATCATAGAGACAGCGGTAGACCCGTCCCATGCTGTGTTGGATTCGTATATTGGGCGAAATAGATGTCATGTGCATGGGGACCTATTAATTTTGGCGTCAAGCAGTTCGCTTGCATGCTGTATTATGGTTTGAAGTGAATTTTAGCAGTAAAATGATAAAGTGCTAATACTGTGTCTAAAGATTTAGGTACTAAACAGAACAGCCACCATTGTTCTATAAAGAAAAATAAATAGATAATACAATTTGTAGTTACATAGATATAATAAAAAATAAAAAGATTTTTTTTACAGTTGTACGTATTAGATATATAACCCGTGAGCATGATGTTCATAACAACGACGAAATGTCGGGATTTCATAAATAATATTATAGACAATATAAGCAGTATCATCTAGTCTCAAGCTAAGCAGAGCTTGTGTTGTGGTTTTTAGACAACCGCTATAAATAATTAACTTTTTTGTAAATACATACATATAAAATACTTAAACAATCATACTCATGAAGACAAATATTTGTATTGCCCGGCCATAGACCCTGCGACCACTAGGTGAACTAGTATCTGGATGAAAGCAAGGTGGTTAATCAAATGAATCTATCTCTGAATGATCATCCTTGATCATATCATCAACAAATGTCTGTTGATATTCCAGCCATGTTATATACGTTGTTATATACGTAAGGTTCATTTTCGAACTATCATGTTCGCATCTCACGCAATCATTAATCACCACAATCATAGTCTAACTGCCAATCCCATATATCTCTTCGGTGTGCATTGTGCGAGATTTGTCTTAATTAATGATCGTTTACCCAATGCGATATACATTACTTTTTCCTAAACCTTTTCTTTCGTCCAAAACATCGTATTATACGTAAGATAACATATTATAACATAAGATATTTTGAACCTAAGATGTTACAACATAAGATCTAATTTCCTTAAACTATTCCTTCATTACGTCACGTCATGTAAAGTTGACGTCAGAAGCAACATTTACCATATCCACTGGGTTATTTTTCACTGGCAAAAGTTATTTTGAATACAATCCGCAGAAGAACCAGTGACATAGCCCGAAGAATTGCGACTTTGAAGTGGCAATACACATAGTCGTAGGACAGATGGCCGTTGGGGGTAAAAAAAGGACTGGGAAGGCCTCCAGCAAGGTGGACCGACGTCTGGTCACGGGAAGGCATTGGATAAAATTACAATGTACATTCCTGCGATAATGATGATGATGATGATTCTTCAGTGTTCGTTCTATCTCTATTCAGAGACCTTGCGTCTACCCTCACCCAAGCGCGAGAGTAATATTTTCCATCGAAATTTTGCCGTAAATATTTACGTTCCATCCTACTCGGCTAACTCTATTGTTACAATAAATATATTTTTTTCAGTTATTCTGAAAATTCAATATTATTCCAATGTATTGCATTTTATGAAAATTTTATACTATCTTAGATTGTTAATATAGAATAAGTTAAAAATAGGTCCTCTTATTTTTAAGCGAATATTGAGTTGTTCAGCTACGTTATATTTGTTTAAAGAAAATCTTATTAGTGTGAAATATTGATATTAGTCGCCTTATCCTATGTATAAAATATCATCGAGTTTAATTAGTGATTGTAGAAACTTTTTATACGAGCGCTATTTGTATGCAGAGGAGTGGAGGACATGTAGTCTTAATCTGAGAAATTAAATTACATATCAGTCTTCCATAACTAAAAAGTTAGTCACACTTTAAGGATTAGCAACGCGTACGTAATACCACTGGTGTTATAAGAGTCCGTAGGCTATAACCATTTGCCATCGGATAGATCGTATGCTTGAATTGGTTATTGCCACTATTGGTATAAAAAATAAAGTCATACATAGAACTTAATACCATAAATTTTCAGTCACTAGGTAAGGAACTCACAACCTTAAGATCTAAGTCGAGTATCTTAACCACTAAGCCATTACACTGTTATATCTAAGGTAAGTAAATATATCTATTACATACCCTTCGTTTGCTTTTCACGTTGTCCAATTGTCGTTGGGTACATTCGCCGATAGATTGTGACCCCCACAGCTCGACCCCTACTCTCGCGTACGTGAAGGTCATCGATATTATCGGCAGGAAGTACGTTAACACCATAAAAGCGACATTATATCTGAAAATGGGAATAATAATATAATATCACCATAATGTAACAATAGTTTAATATTTACGATAATGTAGTTATATGGGGGGGGAGGTAATTGGTGGTATTGTGAACCGATGATCTAATTTCTAGAATATACCATATCAGATTGACCTCCACGCGGTTCCCCCTAGAAACCATCGTGATAAATTCCTAGTGAATTTGTCTCGATGGGTTAACTGACCTGACCTCATGCTCATCACTGGTGGCCCGCCAGCGTAAACCTTTAGCATAGACGGAAAAAAAAATTATACTATATACGTAAATTTTATAAAATTAAGATAAAATATTTCTGTAGTATTTAATCTGTCTGTCTATATATATAATAAAAATGTTTTACAATCACTGCTTGTTCATGGAAGATATACGGTAAATATATTATTATAGGATTCTAAGAATTTTTGTCTTGATTTTTTATCTGCGTTTGTTCGTGCTAATCATAGAAACTGTTTAGCCGTAACAGATAATCTTATTTGGATGCGGTTTTCACTAATGTGTGATTACATAATATAGTGTTTATTCGTATCGATTTACAAACAAAAGAGTTACAAATTCAGACGTTAGTTCAATAACATTCAGAAAGCATTTTATTACTTCCAGTTGATTCAGGATGTCAGCCAATCAAAGTCAAAGACAAAATTAAGAGCATCTTGTCTTTTTTTATAAGTAATGGAAAAATTCCGTTCACAGTAACGATAAAAGCCGTAGATCAAGAAAATTGAAGCACATATACACATTCGATTTACAAAATTCCGATAAAATGTTCAGCTGAGCCTCACTTGATTGAAGTGACTTCACTCATGCTTGACCTTATAAAGCTAATTTGAGACGAATGTGCCATTATTTGTTTCTGAAACAAAACAAAGGGGGGCCTGATGTATGCGTAACTAAGAAGCCGACCTTTACGAGGGAAGTTATTACCTTAATATATCACACGTGTGTATACGAAAATTTCAGGTAATAATAGCTACTATTTTTAACATCCTAATACTTTCTCCAAAAATAAGAAAGCTAAAAAGTTATTGCAAACAATGCGTAAAATGTTTACTTTTTGTAGTATAATTTTTATTTATGCTATCTAATTAGTTATTACTTATATAAAATATATTACAGTTTTATTTTATACTTTGTTCACGCGTAAAATATTTACTTTTTATTGTAATGTATATAATAGCTACTATTTTTAACATCCTAATACTTTCTCCAAAAATAAGAAAGCTAAAAAGTTATTGCAAACAATGCGTAAAATGTTTACTTTTTGTAGTATAATTTTTATTTATGCTATCTAATTAGTTATTACTTATATAAAATATATTACAGTTTTATTTTATACTTTGTACACGCGTAAAATATTTACTTTTTATTGTAATCCATTTATTTATGTTCTGATCACAGTTTAGCGAAGTAGACTTTGCGTCAATAAGAAGAGGACATTTGCGTAGACATCTCATCTTTTTCAAGCAGATTTTTAAGCTGTGTTTCGGTAGAAAGATGAGATAAGGCATTTAAATTACAGAATAAGAGTCATAATATCTTATATCTTCGGAATGGCAACATATAGGTGGTGCCATGGAAGTCACATGATGAATATCCATGTCCTGTTCCTATTCATAATACTTGTATGTGCAAGTGACGGTTACCATTTACCATCAGAGTCGTCAGCTTGTTTGTCAGTACAGTTACCTATGTAAAAAAAACAGTAGATATTGCAGTGGATATATAAATACAAAATTTGAGTTCACTCGTTACTTTGTGGTGCTTTAATAATAAAATTTAAATTTCCCTGCAAACGGTTTTTAGTTCGTTCTCTATTTTCTAATTCATATTATGAATTTATTATATTTTACTGTACTTTTTGAGGCGAATTTTATACATCAAAAATACATGTACATTATTTTATTATACATACCCTACTACGTACTATAAATTTGTGACATTTGGTAGAATTAATATTACATATAGTCTACGTCACTTTGGAATAATGCATCTTTTAAATAGTGAAATAATTATAAGTCAGTGTAGTGGTTCATGATTTAATTTCTTCGCAATAAAATCCGCTCAATGTCTGTATACTATTAGAACTTTATATGTAGTAAACACTTTGAATGCACGGGATCCATCCTAACGTCGCTCAAATACAATAGATTCGGTCCAAGGGATTCGCATCGTCATTCATATTGCGAACTACTAAGGAATGTTATACTCTTTCTGCTGCTCTATTCTTGGAGAATTGCAATCTAAGACTCTGTGAATAGGGAATATGTACAAGAGTGCTTACAATCGGGTTGCTAGTTGGTACATTTGTGTTTTTAAATATTTATATGAACACTATTTTGAATATCAAAACAGTGTTCATTTTTTTACACCGTTTTGTTTATATACATTTTCTCTACCATACGGCCGACTTAGCATGTTTTTATATATTGTATGTTTTTGTTATATATATTCTATTGCTCTATTCATTGTCATCATCGTTGGATGCACAGATCCCAGCGTCTTACATCTGTATGTGGTGCAATTTGTGTCCCATACATTGTATCATTTCCCATGAGATGAAGAATGAATGTCATTTAGTTTATCATAAGTAAATAAATAAAATATACGTATAATTTGTAAAAATCACGGCATCTTACCACGTTTTATTTTTATTGATTTTTACTATATTTAATATTATAAATAAAGACCGCGTCAATTATAAAAAAACAATTACAAAACAGTATAAATAAAAAATATAATAAGTTGTGAATATAAATTAAAACAAATAAATTTTATACAGTACTAGTTGTATCCTACTGCCCTGCGTATTTAGAATATAGCCTATTTTAGAAGCCAATACTGTAGCTATTTATATGTAAAAAAAATATTAAAATCGGTCAAGTATTTTATAAGTTTATCTATTATAAACAAACATATAAATATTATTAATCTTTATCATTATACGGATAGATGAATACGCAATAACCCAATTATTACATTATGGTAGGACGGCCCTAGAAGACTATCTTCAGGAGTACAGAACAGTATTCTTTTTAAAAGACTCTTCAACTCTTGGTAGAGGACTTGAGGAGACTATATAAGTAGATGTCATATTATTCGTGTTTTTGCAAGCATACAGCTCATACGACAGTGAAGTAGTGGCTATGGAGACATGACACTCAGTAGTATTAATTAAAAATAGCAATTCTTTATAGTTACAATTACCGTTATAGTATATTCTAGATTGTGAATAATGCTGTTCACAATTAAAGGTGTTTTTTACGTAAACAATAAAAATCTAAAAATAAAGAATATAATAGTAAAAAATTGTCGTATGCAGAAATCATCACCAAATTAAAAATGATTTTGATGTTGCACTTTAGTGTTTTTATGTATGTTTTAGTGTAAAATGTCTACAAGATATTGCAAGATAATATTAAAAGTCTGAAATCTTGAATTAATGTGAGAAAATGAATAATTTTGTCATAACTCACTACTTTGTTTGGGACTAGATGGCGCGATGGATGATAAATTGTTTTGGATCATTATGCTATAATATAAGTTTTATAATTGATTAGTGTTTATATACAAATAATAATAGCACATCTACACTCGTGATACAATATATCTTCTCACATTTATATTTAGATTTTTTTACTTATTTTCTAACATTCATTTAAATGGACGGGCAGTCACACTTTCGCAATTATAATCATAAAGTAGATGTACATATCATATATTTATTTATTTGTAAACTCTTTGTTGCATATATATGTCTCTTGAATATGTATTTCTTGTTACACAAGAATTACAGAGACAAGCGATATAATAAATAAATAATCCTGGACAATTAACATAGCGCCATCTAGTCCCACGATATGCAGAGCTTGTTTTATGGGTACTAAACATCTGACATAAATACTTAGATATTTTATTTTTTCTAAATACATACTTAATATATTATATATATTATTATAAAATACCCAGACCGATACAGACAATAATTATATTAATTAAACATACTGTTGAATACAAGTGTTTGTGCCGTGCGAGGAATCGACCCCGCGACCATCGGAAGTAAAGCGGTGTGCTAGACCACAAAGGTCGTGTACATATAGATATACAAAAATCGGTCTTAAAGCAATCTCTTCCAGACAATCTTTGGGTAGTGCAAAACACACAATACACAAAACACATACAAATTAGTTGTTAGGATTATAAAAAGGTGCGTTGTTATAATTTGAATATTACGTATTCTATCTGCGACCGTAACTTTACGACATATAATCTAAGTTAAAATTTACTCGAAACGCGCCATTTTTGATGGCTGAGCATATAACTTTTTTATCACGTGATATGAGTGACGTAGCATGCAAAGATAAATTATTAAAAAAACTGCAGAGCCAAGTTATATAGACCAATGGGTTATAAACTGGTATCTCGATCGCTGAATATCTAAATTTACGTCTGCAGACTGATTTTCGGATGTGATGAGATCGAAACTTAAACGAAAATATATGTACATAAGATATACTTTATTTACTAATACAAATAAAGTATAGTTTCGTTTTAAGACTAGTACAATATGTATATATACTATACATATGTGTATAAATATATCAAGGTGGGCTTAGTGCTGAAATATTTTTTTTTTCAGTATATAAATATAAGAATATATTTAATGATATTACAAAACAAGGTTACTGATTAGACATTCGAAAGAGACTTTCACTAACACAATAAAAAGATAGATATTGTTAATTAAATGTCATCAATTTGAAGAAATTTCCATTTAATATCTATTTGATTCTCAGAAAATAATATAATAATCTATATCGAAGAAATGAAATGGCGAATACTTTCGAAAATTAAAATATTTTAGTAAATCTTTGAGTTATATTTATTACTAGCTGTGCCCGCGTCTTCGTCCGCGTGGAATTTAAGTTTATTTTTCTAAAATCGAAATAGCCTAAGTTTACTCCCTATTACATCAGCTACCTGCCAATAAAAGTCTCGTCAAAATCGGACCAGCTATTTCAGAGATTAGATGAAACATACAGGCTGACAGACAGATAGACAAAAATTGTAAATAATGTTATTTTGGTGTATGTACCCTATTTATATGCATATGAATGCATGTAGTAAAAACGGTTATTTCAATATTACAAGCAGACATTCCAATTTTATTTACATGTATAGATGCTGCAAAGTTACTCTTTATAGCACTGCCACTGGAAGCTTTACAACCTCCTCTATTAATAATCAAATTCCGACAATGATTTAATCTACACCCATATTGCGACAAGTGTTTAGAATGTAGCTTGGTGGCTTAATGTTGAGTATTTTTGACAATCTGCGTTTAAAATATTTAGATATATTTTTAGGAAGACAAATTACTCACATGTACTCAAGTTGAGATCTCGTCGTTATTCCATCAGGCCACTCTGGGAAGCAAACTCGTCTGAAAAGAGAATTAAATGTAATTATCATACAAAGATAACTCAGAGCAAAAGTTTTTTGAAAAACAGTGAATACCTACAATGGAAAGCGAGAGTACAAAATAATTTATAACCATTTAAAAATATTTTAAATGAATATTTTAGATCTTTAGTAATATATTACACATATAGTAATTTATTTTATTTGTATATACACACACATATATTTAATGTGTATGTGTTATACTATTCCTTGATAATAAAATATTTTTCTTATTATTTTGTATGTCATCCGTCAGATGTTTCTGTAGGATTACAGATGATTATTCTTATAGATAAGCTTTAAAGTTATCATCATAATATGTATTATAATTGCGAAAATCTATGCCTGTTTTTTTTATTTTTCTATATGGCATGACGAGGGCGTACATAGGTTTATCTAAAAAAATACAGAAGAGCTCACGGGTGACAGCTCGATTGATGAATTCCTTAAATATGTATTTAGAATGTAAAATGTTTAATAGTAATTCTTCTATTCAGCAATACTAGATAATCACTATATCTTAAACGTTGAGAGGTAGACTGCGCTACTAGCATAAATTTCGCAATTCCTATAATAAATTTTCTGTCTATTAGCAATCTTCATAAGTAAAATAGTATCTCTTAATTTAACAAACAAACATTTCCCGAACATCGTTCATTTAGTTAGGTGATTAGTTTAATTTTCAACAATGTCGCTCTGGGTACATATGTTGCAATTAAGTACTTCTAAACTTTTACTGAACAATGTAGTTAACTTTCATTTAGTTAAGTGCACAGAATGATTGTATGTACAACATTGCAGTATTTTAATAAATTAATGGACTGGCTGAGTTTAATGGAATTTAAATTCCATTTTATAGTTAAATAGAATGGCGTAATTACCATATCGGATAGGAAGTTTTCAACTTAAACTTACGCTGGAGAAAATAAAGATATTTATTTACTTTCCTTGAATAATTTTATACGGCGCCGCGGCGGTAGACTTTGTAAAAAGTCGTCTTAAAGAGTATCTCAGTCTCACTTATTTTAGTTTCTTAACACCTTGATTGAAAGATGAGGCAATAAGCCAGTGAAATTGCAGAACATGACGGCGTAACATCGTAGTCTTCCGGAACGACAATGTCTGAGATATACCACGAGTGTCACATGATGACGCGTGACCATCGTGCTGTTCATGTATATATAATCGAGGCTTACCATTTACCACCAGGTAAGTAAGCTTGTTTAGCATTCCAATTACATAAAAAAAACGAAACGAGTCATTTCGTAATATAAATTGGGTTTTATTTACGTTGAAACAGAAACATAAAGTAGATTCAATTACGGCATAATTTACTTTATTTAAATGCGTGTCTGTTCTAAGTAGTTAGTGAGTTAGTGTATGTTTTTGTGATTCACTCCAAAACCCGGAATCGTATTAATACCTGTATATTTTCTATATTATTACTACTGTATCTTCTATACGCATAGGCAGGAATATTTTATCTATGTTACTATTAGATGTATATACTGGCTGTGTATGTTATAATAATTTGTACTGAATATGATGAAATAACTTTCTATATGTGAAATTATTTATAAAAAACCAGACAAATATTTTTTGATTCAATACAAAAAATTAAATCATTCGTCTTTATAATATTAGTATGCTATGGTTAGGCAGTAGGGCATCATTCAATAACGGATTTTTTTGCTTGGAACGAATACGATATAGATGGCGTCATTGGTATCGGTATTGTAATTCTTCGTGATTGTGCAAACATTCAAAATACAAATCTATTTTTTCATAAACATAATCTGTTTAAAATAAAATTATTAAGAATGAAATAATGGGTCTAGAAAAGGTATTCCTATAAGTTTACTAAATTTCATATTTATCTGTATTAGATTGCATTTAAGCATTGCCAATAGTCAGTAATATTATGTTATATGCGGTATGGGCTCGTGACCCGCCTCGATTTCACAGTAGTGCAATTAGAGTAAACTATTTTTTTTTACTAAAATATAGATCATATTACTCGCTGATAACATAGCTTTGTAGAGGTGTAAGAATTTTTAAAAATGGTTCCAGTATTTTTTTAGTTTATGTAACACAAAACATCAATACGGAAGTCCCTGAGCAACAGGCAAGTTACTTAATACTTAATCTTCTTGTGCTAAACTAGCAATCCGAATAAGTGTTAGAGTAAAAAAAAGTCTATGCGAAAGTGCTTCTATTATCGTTATTTCTATTTTTATTTATATTATATTCCATCTTTATAACATTACCATCATTTGAGTATATATCTTGAGTGTGTAAAATAACGATCTCATTACTACTGTAATACAGGGATCTCTGTCACTGCAGACCGCCCTAGTTTTCCTTAATAAAGTGAATGACAGTAAAAATGATCGAGTAGGTAATTAACCATTAATGGCGCTATAAAAAGTCATCCCTAATCAAAGAAGACTTATTACGAAGCACTACTGCTGATTTTTAAAGATTTAGGAATATTGTCTATGTACAATGTTACTATGTTACTAACAATATAAACCCGAAAGATTGTGAGTATGGATGGATGGATGGATGTTTGTTACTGTTTCACGCAAAAACTAGTGAACGGATTTTGATGAAACTTTACACTAATATAACTTATACATCAAAATAACACATAAACTATAATTTTAAAAAATATTACTTAAATTGAATGAAATATAATGATAACTGTTAAGTAGGTTTGAAGCAGACGAAGTTGCGCAGGTCAGCTAGTTAACAATAAATTTCGGAAAATAGGAAATTTGTACATAATATATGTACTTGTTAAGTATAAATATGACATGTATTATGAGACATCAATTATTAAAAAAAAAAGACACATCATACTTATAATATTTTTTAAAAAGACAATAATAAGAACCTAGAAAATATAAATAAATAACTTTCACGAAATGTATGTTTTATAAATAAAATTACATTGTTGGGCAACATAAAGTTTTTATTACATTTTTACTGGGTTTACAGTCTTGCTTGTATCGTTAATAGGTTCTATAATACTTCAATCGAGTAATACTAATAATATGCACAGCTGTCTACACGGTCAGAATATAAAATATATCTGAAAGTTAAAGTCCATTCGCACTAACGCGAGAGGCGTAAAATATTGGACCTAGGTCATAGATAACCAAACCACCTGCATATAGAATTCTTTGTTTGCAATCGGAATTTCTTTGGACATTTTAATATCCAACAATGTATTTCTGATGGTGTTTTTCCCAATTTAATGAAACATAGCAAAATAACTCCACTCTTTAAGTCAGGAGAAAAACTGTGGTAGGTAATTATACCTATATCTATCTTACCAGTATTGAGTAAAGTGTTTGAAAAAATTATGCTCAATCAAATGCTGCAACACTTTAAAGTAAATAAACTGCTTCATAGTCGACAATTTGGTTTCACGGCCGGTAAATCAACTACTGATGCCGGTGTAGTTCTCATTAAATATATATTTGATTCTTGGGATATTCAGGATGCATCGGTGTATTTTGTATCTTTAAAAGCATTTGATTGCGTTATATATTTTGAGTGTGAACATAACGGTATTAGATATGAATACAAAGCATGATGAAATCTCTATCTAAATAATAGAATGCAAGTTGTCGAAATTAATAAAGTGAATGACAGTAAAAATGATGTTCCTCAGGTAATTAACCATTATTTTCGCTATAAAAATGATCTTCCTTATATGGTAGAAAAGATAGCTGACATAGTTCTGTTTGCTGATGATACTTCATTTTTAAAGTCAATCGAATATTGATGATTTGGACGTAGTAAATGCTCTTTCTTATGTTTTAAAATATTTACGGAAAATATGTTACTATGGATGGATAAAATAAATGTATCAAATTTACTACCAATGTTTCAGATTCAAAAATCATGTTGGACAATGAACGGATTTTGATGATACTGTATTTCTAATATAACTTAGATTACATCAAAATAACACATAAACTATAATTTTAAAAAATATTACTTAAATTGAATGAAATATAATGATAACTGTTACTTTAGGTTTGATTATGTCGTATGGTATTTTGTTTGCGCAGGTCAGCTGATATAACAATAATTTTACGGAAAATAGGGCCATTTGTACATTAATATATGTACTTGTTAAGTATAAATATGACATGTATTATATACATCAATTATTAAAAAAAAAGACATCATACTTATAATATTTTTTAAAAAGTAACAATAACAAACTGATTTTAGAAAATATAAATAAATAATTCGTTTTATGGAAATGTATGTTTTATAAATAAAATACCATCTGTTATAAATGGGCAACAAAAAGATTTTTATAAAACATTTTTACTGGGTTTACTATAAAATTGAAGAATTCGTTAACGATAATAATGTTTTTGTAGGTTCTAAATAATACTTCAATCGATAATACTAATAATATGCAGCGATTTCTATGTTGATTGTCGGTCAGAATATAAAATATATCTGAAAGTTAAAGCAACACACAAGTTTCTTGCTCACTAACGCGATGAAGGCATTAAAATATTGACCTAGGTCAAAATATGATATTCAAAAGTGCATATAGAATGAGTTTATTTGAATAAAGATTATTTCTATTTCTACATTTTAATATCCAACGAACTCTTATATTATCTGCCTTGAGTTTATTGTCTATGGTCTACCTGTTTATCATATCGATTCACTTACAGATGGTAGATTCGATACAAGAATTTATTTTCATGATTTTTTCCGTTTGTTTTGGTCAGAGCATTTTTTAGCTGTGGTTTCTTCCGTATGAAATTTATAGGCTATGTGTTATTACGATGTATAAGCTATATTATTGTAACGTTTCATCAAGGTCCATTCAGTAGTTTTTGCGTGAAAAAGTAACAACCAAAAATCCATCTATCCATACATAATTACAAACTTTTGTTTATATAATATTGTTTGTATAATATTAATAAGATTTTGGTGTGTAAATAGAATTGTGTCAAGAGCTCTACCTGCAAGAGCGTGGCTCTTAAAACATGAATGATTAAAGAGTGCTAAACAAGCTGACGATCTACTTGATGGTAAGTGGTAATTGTCGGCTATATATTTGAAGAGACCATGCCAGTTACGTCATCAATTGACGATAGACGACAGTACCCTTCATGCGTTGTTAATCCGAAGAACTAAGATTTTATGCAATGTAGATAATTTCACTACCATGTCTCACTCAGCTTACAAAGAAGTTGAAACAAGTACCACAAAAGTAACTATGCATACGATTATATACAATATCCAGTTTCTTAAGGGTCGACACCGCGTAACATCACTGCTGTTTCAGGCGTTCATAGACTACGGTAACCATTTCCCATCAGATGGGCTTGAGAGCCATCTTCGTGCTATAAAAACAAATTAAAATAAACCTCTATTAATATACTCTATCTCTATCTAAATTATTAAAAATACTATTTATATAATGAGTCGTTATATTACAAGTTATGTTTAATTTGGGAATACACAGCACTGTGTGTGTTATTCAAAGTTATGAAAGTATTTGTACATACAAGAAAAAATTGCATTATCCTGTCTATCACTTTTACTATTAGGCAGTTTGTATTTACAGAAAATCTTAAAAATATAAAGCTGAATAACATTTATTGAAAGAGTAACACAAGTTTCTTGTTCATTTCATTTGTTGCTTCCGAATGGGTGGTAGAATAAAAAAATGTGAATTTTCAAGTGTTCATTTTAAGTTTATTTCAATAATATTACTTCTATTTCTATTACAATAAGAAATTAATTATCTAGAGTTTATACTTGCATAATCTTATGAAAATAAAAGGTGTTATAACATTAGGGCTCCTTGGCGTACCTTTGTAGTATGGCGAGCAACCAGAAACCTGAATGTTCACTTTTAAAGCAGATATTGGTCGAACAATAACCTGGTATATAGAAGCTGGACGATAACATCCTAACGATGCAGTCGTAAAAGTTTTACGCTTGCCCCCAAAGTATTTTAGCCTCTTAGCACGGGTTTTATTTTACAAACAACCATTTGTCTACACAAAATATTATACGTCTTATAGTAAACGATGTGGTCCTTTTAGAGGTCTTTCTAGACTAAATTGCAGGTTACATTTTATGATATTGGAATGAAAAACAAGCTGACAAAACACCCTGATGAAGTGATATCGCCTATATATAGCCTATTTACATCACGAGCATCATAGAATATATTGTATTTTTTTTTGTAACGTGCTTTTGAATCTTATAAGTTCACTGCCATGTCCCAACGGAACATATCCCGTAAAGAAAATTGTAATAAATTAAATTATATAAGTAATATATTTCTTTCATGTAGTTAGTGTAGTTAATGTTAGTGTTTCACGTTTTTAGCGTTTTTTTCCTTGCACCATCCGTCTTCTATAGACTTAGAAAAACAGATAAGACACAACTGAATTTAAAAAAAATCTTAGCGTTAGAATTAAATATTAGAGGTTCTTTTCTTATTTAAATTTGTAATAATGAACTTGACTGGATACATCCCATTAGTTCTATTAGATTGGATTAGTCACATGATTGGGTTGATATAGTCGATATGACTGATTGATTTTAATAATTAGTATGTCTAATATGTTGTTTCGTTTGTAGTCGTACAAAATCATAAACATGTGAACTTGTATAACTTTTGACTGAAAACAGTACCAGCAAAATTTTGTTAGTCATTCTGCGTAGTTGAATTTGCATTCCAAATGTAGTAGTTTAACTACAAAATGACTATGCAAAACTGCTTAAAAATAATGTTTTAAATAGAGATTATTATACGGGATGGTTTCTATTTATATAAGTTGTGTCAATGACTTTTATAGACAATGAAGGTGATTTAAAAATCGTTATTCCCTATAGCTCATAGCATATATTTGTCTAGTATTAGATTAGCAGTAGCACATGCTACTGGTAGGTAAATAACCTATAATATTAAAACTAGTTTGATATTATTCATAGCGATAGTTTAAATTAGTTATTGTACTTGAATTACTGTGAATAGTTCATGCACATTTTTATTATGCAAACCAATTTAAAAATAAAGTTAAATAACACAAAAGGAACTATGGACTGAATGAAAAATTATATTAAAAGTATTGTATTGTGATATTAATGAAATATTTTTTTATATTATAACGAGTTTTACTAATTCTTAAGAATTTAGCAGTGCAGCTCAAATATGAATTATTATTTTTTAAATGTAGTTCTAAATACAGTGAAGATGAAAAACTTTGGTATTAACTTGAAATTATGTGACAAATTGACGGTAACGGTGTTTCGGCGATTTAGCATATCACCTTACTTCCGATGATTATGGGTTCGATTTCTTGTACGATGCGTGAGTGGAATTGTTTGTATTGGTCTGGGTGTTTTCCTATTTATAGTGTATATATGTATGCTTAGCTTGAGAGAAGACGGAGCTGTGTGAATCGTCTAAGGTTATTATTATTACTGTTAACTTATTATTCCTGGGAACCTTAAATTATTGGTTGACCACTAACGAGTTTGAAGTTGGCAGTTTATGTAATAAAGTTAGGATTAGTTGTATTTGACTTAACAGATGAGGAAGCGTTTGTAAACAGTGAAATTCACGAAGATAAAGCGAGGTTGACTTTTACCCGTTTGTGTTAGGTTTGTCTGTTTGTGCACCAAAGCGAAAAGGACCATTTCTCTCGCAGTTTAAACGATACCTACTGGCTATTAATTTTGAGAGTAATTTCTTGGAAGCCTAAATTTATTGAGTTCACAGAATGATCTACAGTGCTGACTAATAGTTACGAATTGAATCGTTATATATCTTGAATGATCTTTATATAACATGTTTAAATCATATAACATATATTATACCTGTACCTCAGGTGATCATTTTTAGAAATTTGTATGAAGAATATTTGTTATCATAACGTAAAAATACATAAAAAATATATACTCGAGAGTGTAACAGAAGGCAAGCATGCATGGAAGACGCTTTATGTCGCCTGGCCATAGTGGTTGTAGCAGTTTAAGTTTTATAATCAGTGTCCCACAGTGGAAATTTAATTGGTTATTACTAATGATGACAATATAATAAAATATTTAAGTAATAACTAATGTAATTGAAAAAAATAATGAATTCAGATAAAAATACCTAAAAGTATTTTAAACAAATACGTTTGTGTATATATGTTGTAATAGTTTTTAAGTTAATGTGTTTAATAACATAAAAGGATCTGGATGAATAATTAAAATAAATACAGTATATATCGTAACTACCTACTTACTTCGAGTTAGTATATTTGAATGGTACAAGCATTCTAGTTAGTATTTACTATTACTCTATCTACTTGGTAGAGTAATAGTAGTAGATTATCATATTTTTTAAGCGTAAAAGATATCGTTTCTATGTTACCTGGTGTTTCCATCTGGCAGTGTGGTTGTTTCTGTGGTGAAATATATGAGGTTGGGGCTGCTGATCACAGAGCTACCTGCCCAGATAGCCGCTGCAATACCTAGTGTTGCTCGCTTGCCGAGACGTGGTCGCAGTGGACTCATTATAGCCACATACCTGCCAAAAAAATATTAGTGATATACTAAAAATCTCCAATTGTTATAAGGACAGACGATCGGCGAAACAGAGATGGACTATGTTAAAAATGATTTGATACGTCAATAAGATGACTGCGAACTTGGATGAATCGAAAAAAAAAACTATAATATGCCGACCTCAAACAATATGGGATAAGGAATAGCAGAAGATGATGAGTAAAAATGTACTTTCGTATGTTGTTATGTACTTTCTACCATTATACCTCTCGCCATAGACATGGAATTCACATTCACACCCTGAAAATTACGTGAATGACGAGTACCTGAAAATGACGAGTTCCTCCCACGTATATCAGATTATGGAATAAATTTCCTTCTGAGGTGTTTAGGTACTAGGTTCTTACATAGGACAGGGATCGGGGAGGGTATGTTATAGTTTGTTTATGGATATTTTCATGATCGGAGAGCAAATGTAAAAAATATTAGTTCATACTAATTTTTTTTTACTTGTGGCCTGATTTGAACTTTCGGGTGTTAAGTTTAAATAATAGTTCTAATAGGTAACCACTAGGTCACAATTCTTTCAATTACGAATTCAGGGGCTTCTTCTTTTAAAGTGGATAAAAATAATGTTGACGTAGGTAAGCGAATCTATTTATAATCTTATATGAAAAGGGTTCAATTTCGACTCAACCCCAAGAACAGATAATGCACTCTTATACAAAGTTTTATTGGAAAAATTCCTAGTAATTTATTGGTAAAAAGATGTATAGGTACCTAAGAATAGAATAGGGTTGGAGATCTAATAATTCCGTGCCATATTATTAAAGGAAGAAATACCAACTTACATTTTTTAGGGACAATAATAAATATGTATTTCTAACAGCGCTAACAACAGTATATCTAGCGATGGTCAGTCCAGTGAAATATTATACGTATGAGATTTAAGTCCTTGTAGTTAGCCATTCTTTCCAAATTTAACAGTAATTATGATATGTAATCGAGTCAGTTACTTTTATATATTCCTTTATTGATGGCCTCAGTGGTCTTGCGGTTTAGCACACCGTCTTATTTCCTATGGTCGCGGGTTCGATTCCTTGTACGTCACAAACTTTTGTCTTCATGAGTACGACTATTTGTATTTACGGAAAAAATGGTAGGTAATTAATTTTAATATATCAAGCAAATAGCTTGCCTGATGGTAAATGATTGTATTTAAGGACACATATAACATAACGTCACGTGCCATTTACGGACTCCTGAAAAAAACCTTTTCCTTATACTCATTTTTATGAGAAAATATCCCTGTTACCTTTGATTATAGTAGAGTATTAATGTTTTTCACTCTCAGACCAAGTAATAAACTGAGTTATTATCATTTCAGGCTTCGCAGTACACTCGTTATGTGTATTTCTAAGTTATTTTAAAAATGAATGTAGTTTTCAATTCTGATATTATTTTTAAATTGTATATTACGCGATACTGTCACAATATCAGAAACGATTTTGATGATCCTTGCATATTTTAATTTTAGTTTTCATGTTTATTTTTGCTATTTCGGTCAATTTTAAATTCAAAAGTCGTTTATTCTTTTAGCACGTTTGTAGTCAGTTACGCAAATCAGTTTTATTTTATTAATTTTTTTTCCGATTTTTCATTGTGGTGAAAAATATTTGTTTTTAGAGCACAGATTTCATAACATATAGTTTATGTTATATAAATAAATGAGATATTTGTATATAAGTATTTATATTTCAATCGTCGATTATCTAATATTAAGAGTAAAATTCATCGACTAAATTTAGAAACATCATTAATTCCAATAATTTTATTTTTCTATTTTGGTTAAAAGGTGATATTTGGCAGTGAAATTACAGGGTATGCAGGCACGACATCTTAGGGTCTTCAGAATGTATGATGGGTACGAAAGGTGTCACATGATGAAGACCGTGATGCTCTTCATGTATATACCCATATAGGTCACGGTTGGCTTTTATCATCTTCTTCTTCTTTATGTGCCATCTTCTACTGGCGGTTGGCAAACATAATGGTGATCCTAACTTTACCCACCGCTGTTCTGAACAGGGATCTGGTGGTAATGAACCACCGTCTTAAGTTCTTTAGCCATGACGTGCGGGGCATGCTCGGTCTTCGTCGGCCCTGGATTTTTGCTTGGATTATTAATGACTAATTTTACCATCATGCTCACCTGATGGCAAAATTAGTCATTAATAATTCAATCAGGCTGTTTGTTATTTCACATAAAAAATATACAAGTGGATTGTTTACTGCCACAGTGAGTCAGTGTACAATGGTAGTAAACATTGGACCAATAAAAACAAAAGCTTGTAAATACTCCAATTGTATCGCAGATGCCACAAAAGAAACTGAAACTTTTTTTATTAAATACACAATTTTTTTATATAATAACACAATATAAAATGGTATTTCAATGTAGTTATAAATGCAACGCAATATGTATAATAAAAATTATACACTATTTTATTTATTTTCAATGTTATTTTGCCTTATACCTTTTGATAATTTAATATACTATGTGCTGTTTGCACATCATATTGTCCATCTAATGGTGAAGAGATAGTGTAAGTATCTAAGGGGTATCATGTCCAGTACTTATATTACAGTCTGTGTTTAGTTTTGAACTAGATGGCGCCACGATTCGTCAGTGGGTTACAATTTTTCTTTATTACTCTTGAAAAATAATATAAAAAACAAATGAAGTAAAACGTACTAAGGTTGGTTAATGAATTAAAGTATATATTATTAATATAGTGTTAATAAGATAAAAACTATAAGAAGTAAGAAAAAAATGGCGATAATATATAGGTACATATGCAGGGGTGGATCGTGAATTTGTGGATCCCTTGGCTAAAACTTAGAGCCTACCCAATTATATTACTCAACTAAAAAAATATACAGACCAGAAAGAAGCGACAGTGAATTCCCCATTCCGTTCCATAGACGCGCACACCCATGGGTTGATTAATCTCAGGTTATCAACCTTATGTTAGATTTTTTAATATTATAGATTTTTTAATTTAAATATCGCCTATTATTTTCAGTGGGGTCTGAGGGCCCTTTGTATCCACGGGGCCCAGGGCTGCAGACCATAAAGCTCATAGGTAGATCCGCCCCTGTACATATGTATGTGTTTTTTATATACATACTCATTTGAAGCGATGACCACTGTACCGTAATAGTAGGCATGAAGGCATTTTCGAATAAAGGTTGTAACAGTATATTAAATTTAAGATGAATATCAACCTTTGTATCGCAACGATTGTTAATGTTAAGATACTGGAATATTCAATAAATAGTAATAACTCTTTATTGAGTACAAAGAAAAAAAAAAGATATTATTGCAATCTCTTACAGAAGGTACAGGTAAATAAATATCGAATAATAATTATATGTAATTATAAGAAAACCGCAGTCAGCATCATTATAAACGTATCGTATAGAAATCCCATTGTCGGTATTTCATTTTTAGTTTAGAGAATTATTGTTTTACAAATTTTTGAATTATTATTCTTTTAATTACGCGTAACTACTACGTTAGGTACCAAGTTTTTATGTAACTGATACAAACTACTACCACTGAAATTATTACGATGATTTTTTGGAAAAATGTTACTTTAAAAGAATATTTATCTTTATACTAGCTGTGCCCACATGAAATTTATAGCCTATGTGTTATTTTGAAGTAAAAGCTATATTACTCTAAAGTTTCTTCAAAATCCGTTCTATAGTTTTGCGTGCAAGAGTAACAAACATCCGTCTGTTCTTCCATACTTACAAACTTTCGCGTTTATAATATTAATAAGATATAATCATAAAGATTGTGATTGGTGCAAAAAGTATAGACCTACATCATTTTATTTTTTTAAGTTAATAAAATTATATTCAAAAACTCAACACATAGGATTGCAAAATGCAAATAATATAAATTGTTTATGTAGTAGTAAATGTAGAGGCGGTCGGGTATTTATTTCTGTTTGTAAATTTAGATGGGTAGAATTACGATACCCCAATTTGTTATTTAGATAATCTTTCCCAAAATATACAACTATGTGTATAGAAGAGTGATGTTGCCACATTCATCTGCGCCGAGCTGAAACCGCTGAAGCTATAAACGGGAATATTGGCGAAAAATTTTATTTTACGATGTAGATGCCCGTTGGAAGGATTTTTGCTCCAAAAAGGATAAAATAGGGGTTAAATGTGTATGCTGATGTTATATTAAACGTTGACTATATAAATTATTACTTATGTTAATAAAGCTGAAAGTCTGTATGATATTTATTATATTTATCTCCTTATGACTTTATAGAAGTTAATATTAATGAATTAATGGTATCGCTGTGGTTTTATTCACGTCAATCTATATAAAGTATATCCTATTTATTAACACTATGCTTTAGATATCTTACAAATTTCATTGAGATCCTTTCTGTGATTTAAATCTGATTATGTTACAAACATGGAAAACATCTATACATTTTTATATAGTTATGTTATAAATATTAACTACACACATGTAATATTACTTATACACATTTTCTACCGCCGATATCACGGCGATTCTTTTGAAGAATTGTTCGAATTAATACTAGCTGCTGAATTTCACCATCGCACTAGCATAAAATAACTTCCTGATCGACTGGATAAATGGCGGTTCTCCACCGTGCGTTTCTCCAGAAAATACGATAGTGAAACCTTTAAGAAAAGAGCTTATTCATTCTTAAAAGGCCGGCAATGCACTTGCAATTCCCCTGATGTTGTGGGTACTCAAGGGCGGCGGTAATCACTTTCCATCTGGTGAGCGGCAAGCTCGTTTGTTCTCTATGCTATAAAAATATATTTACCTACGCGATATCTTTACCAACTTTTAATTGGTTGTTTTTACGGTAAACTTATATTAATATTTGCTTCAGCTACGTAATTTAAATACTAATTTGATTAACACTGGATTATTTATTTGTTGAACGAAATATATACACTTGTAAACTCACCTGTCTATACTTATAGCCATGAGAGTGAACACTGATGCCGATATGCTAAGCACAGCTATAAATTGACAGAACTTGCAGTAGAAGTGTCCAAACGGCCAATCCGAATAGAGCATGTACGTGAAATTAAACGTCACGTTTAGGGTTGACACCATTGCGTCTGCCACGGACAGGTTGACTGTGGACAAAACAAAAGAAATATGTAAAATAGACTTAAAAGCCTATAAAATAAGTTACTTTTTACTTTTATGGAATTGAAATGTTAATTACCTAAGATAAGGTTCACCTGAGTAAGAGGCAACCTTAGCATATATACCATTAATGCGTTATCATTCTGAAGAACTTAAGATGTCCTGCCTCCGTACCCCGTAATATCACTACTTTATCTCAACCATTTTCAGTACTCGGTTATTCATCTATTTATGAATTTACTATTCATCTATTTATGTTAACATAGCTTAACATAGCATATGGCGGTACATATTCATATAAAATTCCTAAAAAAATATTTCTGTATAACATTTATTTACGAGTTACTTTTTTTACGCAATTTTCTTACTCATTCTTCGTGTGATAAGTCTGTGTTTCGATCGTGCTATTTAATCATCATACAAATCAAGAAACACATCTTATAAATCAAGCTGCTTGGCGGCTGAAATATGTGAGAAAGAGGGTTATTAGAGTAGACGCAGACGACTTTATACAATGCATATCTCTGGTCTTAATATGAAATTATACTATACATTGCTTTTATTATTTATTAAGTAGTCTAACATTTATTAAGTAGTACCCACTTTTTAAGTTTTTATACTTATGTGGTATGCATATGTTTTTACTTTATTAATTTATTACTTTATTTAATGTACCTATAGAAATAAATAAAAATGAAGTGTCTGGAATTTCAAATTAACAGCTTTTTAGAATAAACAAATGAGTCGTTTCATTATAAAAAGACACGAAGGCCTCGCCGGTCTATCGGTTTTGCACCTCGCCTCTCTTCCGATGGTCGTATGTTCATTTCCTCGTACGGTACAAACATTTGTGTTCATAAGTATGATTGTCAGTAAGTATATATATAATATGTATTTAAAAAACGTCTTTAAGTATTTCTATCAGTTGTCTATTACCCATAATACAAACTTTGCTTATAACGATCATAATTTGTACCCATATTATGATCATTACTATTTTTTTTAATCATGAGATTAAAGTATTAGGTGCAAAACCTAAAATAAAATGATTTATTTTAGGTTTTGCACCTAATACTTTCAATATTAGTATTCTGTGGTTTGTTGAGCGTGTTTAATATAGCAGTAGACAGAGTTCGTGACTCATCACGGTCCATTGGGAAGTGACAAAGTTTTAATTCCAATTATTCGCGTGACGTCACTTTTCATTCAAAGTTTCAAAGGTTTTTGTAACGACGGAACAAATGAAAGTTCGGGCCAGAGCATCATTCTAGCGGTTGTTTGGAGACCTATGTTAGACTTGCCAAATTTCTTATAATAGACTAATATTATAAATGGAAGATTTTCCTGTCTTATTTATTTATATTAATTATTTATTATAATTATAAAAAACTATACAACTAACAGGTTTATGCAGCATACAATTAATTCTAATTTAATATTGTAACGGTTCGAACCTTTTTATAGAAGTTTAAGAATTATTTCTTTCTTCTTTTCTTTTTCTTCTTTCTTCTTAAAAGCTTACTCCATAGGTGGAATATACCCACTCGTAGTTATACATTATACTTTTGTACTTATTGAAGTGTAAATACAATTTGACAAGTTAAAATAATAGTGATCATCAAACTCTCTAGACATTCTAAATATTGGTCATTTAGGCGTATATTAGATCACTTTATCAGACACTAGGAATTTTTTTATAGTTGAATAAATAGCACGTGCTGTGATTGACTTTAGATCATTTTTCACAGTACGTCAAGCATTCTATTAATATTTTTATATATCAGAACACAAATTTGTCATATTACATGAGACCTAAACAATGTTAAGAATTTATTTGCTGTTCAAACTATAATTTATATATATGTATTATATTTTTTTATAAATATTTTTAGGTTGTTGTTTAAATATCAATAAATATGACATTCAATGTTTATAAAATTTTTGGGGGGTGGGGGGGGTAGTAAAATAAAATAGGGAATAGCTATAGATAAGTTATTACACGCCAAAATTACTGAACCGATTTAAATTGAAATTTGGGCCCATAACCTTAAATTTTTTAACATCTTTTTCATCTGGATTTCAATTTCTATAGCGATACTTTTCATTATAATAAATTCTAAAGTGTAAGTTTATAGTGTAGTTAGTTGCTTTTTGCTTATTCGCAGAGTATGAGCTAACCGCTACACCACCCATGCTTTATATTTGTCACATTATCATAACTGGGTTATATTTCTGAATCTCCTCGTGATTGAGAGCTAATACAGACCGTATTAGCTCTCAATCAGATGAGATTCAGAAATCTATAGTTCTTATAGTTCATAGATCTTATAGTTTGGCAGAACACTAGTTTCCCCTATTTACGAACGGCTGACCCGAAATATAAGATTTCCTTTTATTCTACATAGGTGGCAAACAAGCATAGGGCCCATCTGATGATAAACGGTTATCGTAGCCTATAGATGCCTGAAACACCAGGGGTGACACGTGCGCGTTGCAGACCCTTAAGAAACCTTAGTATATCCTTCTAGAAAAACTCCATGCTGTAGGTTTCCGGGAAAACCTCGGCAGGTAGTTAATTTCACAAACTAAATGGAGGTAGCTCCTCTGAAATTGATACAAACCTAGAAAATAATTGGTGACACTTCGCATCCTCTTGTTAGCTAGAACTATCCATATGACGACTAGGTTTCCCACGGTGGCCACCACCACCATGGCTGCGAACAGCACCGTCCATAGCACCTGGCGCCACCACGGCAAAATGAATGACTGGTATGACTGCGAAAGAAAAGTTCCTGTTAGAAAGTAGAAACAGATCTTTATATTTTGCTCTATCTTAATACACAATCAACAATTATGTCTTATATTTATTTATATACAATTCTCGTGTCAAAATGCTAGTTACCATATTCCACCGAAACGTCTTGGTATCATTTTTATGAAATTTTATATGCATATTCAGTACGTCTCAGAATCGGTTACTATCTATTTTTCATACCCCTATATGATAAGGATTGTCCAGCCTAAAATTTTATTTTATCATGTGGACTTTTTTTTATTTTTTTTTATAATGTGACCTATTTTTAATAGCGATTTTACAACATTTGCGAGGTTAGTTTGTACACTATAAATGTAAATTTTAGAGTTAATTTAAATATACTCATTTCTTCATATATCTTACTTAAAGTTAAATATGATTTCTCACCTCAGTGCCATTTTGTGTGTCGTTGATGTACACTTTGTTGATTTCGTCATAAAAGGTGACGTAAACGTTGTGCAGATCGGTGAAGTACGGCGTAGACCTGTTGGACACCGCGGTCGGGGTGATCTCGTCCAGCATCGTAGCATGAGGTTACACCTGAGAACAATACAAACTATCTTCACATGTTGTTTGTACATCGTCGGCTCGCAGACTGCAGTTCGCAAGCAATGGCGCGGTTCGAGGGGAATGCGAATAACACCGAACCGGCCGCCCATATTCACCACCGAGAACGACTCGTGCGATCATTATTATATTTAATTCGTTCTATGTATTACACAATACATATTCGAATTATACAAAGTTGTAGTCCATATATAAGTATTTCATTAAAAGCTTAGGACCCTACAAAGACTAAGTCTCTACGCTTAGACTAATTAATGGATAATGGAGTTTTCGGCAATAGCTATCTATTGCCGAAAACTACGATTCAAGAGGAAGGTATATATGCAACTGGTAGGATTTACTTATAGTTGAGATTCATAAACAAGATTTTTAAAGTAGAATATGCGAATGACGACTACATTCGTCTAGTAGATTAATAAAAAAATCACAATTTCATTTTAAAAATTCCTTAGCTACCTTTTCATTATTTTAGACATTATTATAGCCTTAGGCTATATATGAATATTGCTAAACTTGGATGAAGTTGAGAGTAGGCTGATGTTATATTTTTAATAAGTTTGATGATAATTGTTTTAGTCCGAAATAAAAAGGTCATATTGTTAGGTATACCTTAAAAATAAGTTTTAAATTAGGTATGCATCGAAAAGTAGAAATAATACAGTTGATTTATCACGACTATCAAGTAGTTTTTCCAGTAGTAGTAGTGACAGTGTATATAGAAAAAGACTAAAAAACCGGGCAGGATAGTCTGCTCGTAATAATTACATTCACCAGCATCTCCATTTGATCGTTGAACACCGTTGAAATATCAGGAGCTGTTTACTAAATATTATCATGGTAAATAACTTGTAAATATACTATATACCATCGTATTGGTTTCCAGGAGTAAGCCAGGTATTTTGGCTTCTGTGTTACAGTTCTATAATATATATACAGTTTTATCTCATAATAACGTGATAGCGCACGTTCGATTGTCGGATTTTTGTAGAATATAACCACAATTATTATACGCGGCGCGTGTAATATCATATGTATATAACCAAGTACCTAAAGCCTACGTGTTGTCAACATGACGTGATGTCAATACAATATTTGCTTTTACTTCTAACGTAATCGATAGGTATATTTTTAACGTTCGTAAAAATATTGAGACCTAGATAAATCGTGAAATAAGGAGTACTTTTTTCTATTGTGAATGCTAAATGTCAAGAATCTTGAATAAGTTGTTACTGAATAGAAAAGCTACAACGCCAAAAGCACCACTCATGTCCCATAAGGTATCCTAAAGGTATTCCTTTGAAGCTAGGTATAAAATCTTAACAACTTAGTGTTGAAAACAATGTTATTTTTACATGGATTAAAAAAGATTTTTGGCGAGGTTGACTGTATCTGTAAAGTTATCAACGTGGATACTTCTGTCTCACTTATTATTCGTCAAGCAGCTGGTTTTGTAAAATATTTTACGGTTGACGGGTGAGACGAAGCAGTGAAACTATAGGATATCGTAGTCCTCTGGCAATGACAGTGTATATAGAGACAGGATATCGTAGTCCTCTGGCCATGACAGTATATATCAGGATATGGCCATGACAGTATATATAGACAAGATAGTGCTGGCAGTGTATATCACATGTCTATAGTATATGATACGTAGTGGCAATGACAGTATATAAAACTGGCATCACATGTTATGTAATTCTTTTTGTAAGACTAGATAATTTTTTTACTTGAACATTGTTTTCTTTACAATTCTTCTTACATTACAAAATAATCATGAGAACATTCTATGTTCATTCACTCTCGCAGAGTAACAGCATTTTTCCATGAGCCATTCATGTAGTTCTGATTTAAACCTATTTAATGGCATCTCTCTAATTACCTGTGGTATTTATTAAATATTTGTGTGGACTTAATAATATAATATAATCTAATCAAATCATATTTAAAAGTGACATGTATTTTAGGACATGTAGATGGAAATACGATTTTCAGTACATTGTCTACTTAGTTTCATTGACTAAAATTGAATAATAATAATATAATCTTCTAATAATTTCCTTAAAATAATATATAAATACATTTTTATGACAATATTTAAATACTGTAGTCAATATGTATCTAAGAAAATAATAATACTTGTTTTTAGAAATAGTAAAATTCTTGAACCCGACCCTTCTACTCGAAGTACATACATATGTTCTCATATACTCATTTCCTTTCTATTTTCGATAATATTCTTTTTACACAACGATGAAAACTATCTAGTACGTAGTACTGTATTTATCCTTTAATGTGAATACGAGATTACGATACCCTTTTTAGTAATATTAATGACATATGGTACCTCCCTACTTACTCCTTGCTTACTTTATCTGGCCGCTGGCCGATAAGCACAATTTCTGTGTATGGTTTCGTTCCCGGAAATCGAAATTTTATTAGAATATTTACAAAAAGTTTTGTTTTTAAATTTTAGGTCTACTTTCTGTAAAAACTAAATGTATATTATATATATATATATATATATATTTATAATCTTTATCAGCCCTTGAGATACAGTAAAATATATTGTCAATAAAAGTTTCATTAAGATCTGTTTATTTGTTTACTCGTCGTTTAGTCGTGAAAATGTAACATATGTGCAGACAAACTATCAAAATTATAATATTAGTATGGAAAAAAGGTACATTCGGAGATTTATAAAAAATATTATTGTTTACTACTTCTCAATTCCCTCTAGACTGGTATAATCATTCAAGTTAACCTTCTAAATATTCAGAATTCACAAACGAAAGGCCTTTCAGACTTTTAGGTTATATAATCCATCATCATATATCACCGTTTCAACATATTACGTTGAACATAGAGCCAAGCTAAAGTTGTCACCCTTGTTAATATTCTCTGTACATGGTACACGTATCTGATTCTGGTTTACAACAAAACTTTGAGTGTCAATTTAACTTATGACTATCGCTCAGTAAAATATACAAAAATTGCTTATAAAACGAAGGTTCAGCATAACTAACTTCTATTAGATTCTAAGATACTTAGTAAAGAGTCGACTTATAGTTTACATTAAAAAATCAAATCAAAATATCTTTATTCGTGTAGATCTATTACAGACTCCTATAGAATGTCAAATCTACCGTTAGTTCGGAGTGCTTGATAGCCTAGAATTAACTAAAAACACGTATTTTTTCAAATAGTACATGTTTACAATAATACAGATTCAATTTTAAATTAAAATTTGAGAGAATAGAGTGATTTGATATTGCAATTTTGTCAAAATTAAATAGTCTAATCAATGTTTGTAACCCGAATAGACCAGTCCCCACAAGTAGAATCGTTTACGAGTATGACGGATGGGCCAGCTATCATTTAAAATAATTGTATTTTCAAAAAAATTCAAAAAAAATGATCAAAAAAACCTGCACTCGTCCGTTTTGGGTTTGATTACTCGCACGGTACAAACATTTGTATTCTTGAGTATTATTGTTTGTATCGGTTTGAGTATTTTTTTATAGAAAAGAAAATGGATATAAGAATTTATGTCAGTTGTCTAAAACCCATGACTAGTTTGGGACTGGATGGCTTTGTTTGAACTGTCCAAAGATATTATTATTCATTTAAGTATAATACATCTTTGATTTTTTATTAAACATGGAAAAACTTTAATTGTCTATCCCTCAAATACTCATTTCACTCAGAATTATTTACTGATGACAGTTTTGCATGTATTAATTTTGTTTAAAAACAGTGTTCTCGATATTCATTGCTTCTCTATTTGCAATTAAACTATGGGTATATAGGGAAAAGTAAAATTCAAATATACTAATGACTGTAACACTACATAACTACTCTGGAATTCTCGCCCCGGTTTCGCACGGGTGTACATGTATTACCTATACATATAAACCTTCCTCTTGAATTACTCTATCTATTAAAAAAACAGCTTCCAAATCCATTACGTAATTTTAAAGATTTAACAATACATAGGGACAGACAGACAGCAACAGCGACTTTGTTTTATACTATGTAATGAAGTTTACTATCGTTTTTTTAATTTATTTCGAATTATTTTAAATGTCTTATGCAGTACAGTCAATACTTTCTCATAAATTTGGAACGAACCGCTCTGAATAATCTGTTTACGATAAATGTACCAAAAAACTTTGTACGGAAAACTGAGTCGAAGTAATTAAACATTGACGTTGATGCCAAGGCGACAGCGAGTCGCTTCATCAAAGGAAATCCTTATTCGTAAAGGTTTGGAGTACACAGGTAAGTACACATATGTACATACGGTTACCGTCTTTTCAGATATTACCTTACTGGTAATATATTGCGCTTTGCAAATATTTGAGAAACGAGGTATAGGTATGGTCGTGATGTGTTCCTTTTAAGGTATTGATATTAATTCCCTCTCAAAGGTGTCTTAGTTATATTTTTAAATATTTATTATTTACTCCTGGATGAATGGAAAGGGAGTGGACGGCCAAAAAAGAGATGGGTGACTTATGTAAAAGATGATATATATAAAAGGAGAGTAAGCTCAGATATGACAGGGATCAGTGGAAGAAGAAGACACTGCGCCCAAATAATGGGATACAGGCAAGGCAATGATGATTCATTATTTACTAATATTATTCTTCGATTTTTATAGGTGATGTTTTTCTCCATGTTATATTTATATTAAGAGTATATATTTTTTTGTTTGACTATTATTAAATACCACGACCAAATTAATCAAGGAAGCTCATACATTTATCTTTACATTGTTAAAAAAATCGCCCACATCTTGTCACGTATGCCCGCTTAGATCTTTTTACTATGCTACGGAGTTTAATGCAATTTTCAGCAATAAATAGAGTGATCGAAGATGAAGATTTATATAATTATGTATAAAAAGATGTATTGTATAGAAATATTAAAAGAAAAGTGTCAATCCATGCATTATTGTACTTTTGTATGAAGAT